GAATCCTCTGCCTCTGTCATGCTTATATCTCTGAGTTTGGCACACTTTGGGATTCTGGCTTCCTCTTAGAGGGTCCTAGATAGCCCATTTTATGGATGAGAACACCAAGGCTCAGTGCAGGTAGGCAGCTTGTAGAGGTCATGTGGATGTGGAAAATGAGATTTGGAATTTAGGTCTCTCTCAGGGCCCATACTATGATCTGCTTCCTTACTCTGCCTCCAATTGTGGCATGGGGGAGAGGGCCTCAAAAGATGGCTGATCCCCAAGAGCCCACCTGGGAATCTGGATCCTGTTGTCAGGGCCTCTGGAATCTAGGGCTTCTTGCAGCCTCTCTTTAGCTCCTAAATATCCCTCTAGGTTAGAGCTTTCCGATCAATGAGCTATTGAGATGGTTATCTCTGCAGCCCTTGAGAACAGAGCCCTAGGCTAGTAACTTCAAGCCAGATGTAGTTCTATCTGTCTGTCCCAGTGCACTGAACAAATAGATACACTTCTCAATGTGTATCATGTTGCCAAACAAGTTGAGAAACACTGACTGCCCTAACCAATCCCCTCCCTGTCCCCCAACGTACATACTGAACATATAAATTCCCCAGAAGGGTTAAGGGTGGGGGTTCCTTGTCTTCTCTGGACATCAGTCTCTTCATCTGAGAAGTGGGAGCTGAGCTAGTGATGTCAAAGGCCATTCTGGCACTGTGAATCTGAGCGTGTGAGTCTTGGCACCTAGCACTGGAAAGGAGTGGGACTGTCTGTGGCCCAAGCAGTCAGCTAAGAAGCCAAAAACAGTCAAGCAAGGGAGCCGTGGAGAGCACAAGGTCAGAGGCTATGGCTCAGCCTCAACTTGATTCTTTGGCTGCATGGGGTCCAAGTGGGAATGCTGGAGGGCTCCAGGTGTCTGCTGGTTTCCATTCTGCACCCTCATGTCAGAGCAGCCCCCTTCTTTACCCAAAGACCCTCCAATCTCATTGCTGGGGTTTCAAAGCAAAACCTCCTGATAAGGGCCACATCTGTCAACCTCATTAGCCAAACTGAAGGAATGTCCTGGTCAGGATTGGTGGAGCTGCTCTTTTCCTTCCTGATAGGAAGCTGAGAGTCAGACCTCAGGGAGCTGGGGTAGGGTGTGGGGATCAGGCAGAAGGCAGAGGTGTGGAAGTGGGGGCAGAGCGGGCTCTGCCATTTACCTTGTTCATTTGGGCAGCAGGTGAGGATGATGCAACTTTAAAGTCAGACCTGAATTTTAATCATGGCTTAGCCACTTGTGTGGCCTTAGGCAAGTCACTGAACCTCTGAGCCTCAGTCCTTCCATCTGTTAAATGGGGATAATAATCCCTCAATAATCTCTTGTTTAATAATAATGGGGGGCACTATGGATGTTACATGGATACATTGGGTAATGGCATAATACACGAGAGCTGCTGGCCTTCCTTGCTCTTGTCCCCCTGGCCTCCTTTCCCCAAATGTCAGGTGTTAGTCCCAGCTCTGGGGTCAATCCCAGCCATCTCAGGAGAGAGGGAGCCTGTCTCACTGGTTCATGGGATCGTGTGACAGGGGCTCTTCCTTAATCTCTGAGACAAACAGGAAGGTGCTTTGGGCTCTGAAATCCTGTGATTCCTGGGAAGGTCTGACTTGGATGTGTTTCTTCCCGCTTTGGTGGTGGCGGTAATGACAGGATCTGCTCACTGTATGGTGAGGAGGTGAGAGTGACCCCAAAGCTCCTTCCATGTCATTTCCCACTCCTCCAGCAATCCCGTGAGATGGGGATCCCACTAGCACCTTAGTGTTAGAGATGGGAATGTGGGGCTCAGAGGGGTTTAGTAACTCGCTTGCTCAAGCTCATACAGCGAGGAGGCAGTAGAGCTGGGATAGAAGCCTATGCTTTTGTTTCTTTGTTTGAGACAGAGTCTCACTCTTTGCCCAGGCTGGAGTGCAGCGGCATGATCTCAGCTCACTGCAACCTCCGGCTCCTCGGTTCAAGCAATTCTCCTGCCTCAGCCTCCTGAGTAGCTGGGACTATAGGCACCCGCCACCACGCCAGCTAATTTTTTGTATTTTTATTAGAGATGGCGTTTCACCGTGTTGGCCAGGCTGGTCTCAAACTCCTGACCTCAGGTGATCCTCCCTCCTTGGCCTCCCAAAGTACTGGGGTTACAGGTGTGAGCCACTGCTCCTGGCCGAAGCCGAGTTCTTAAAGGAAACCTGAGGCCCTCAATCTGCTTCAAGCTCACTCTTCTCCTGTCACTCAGAGTAGCAGCTATTTTTTTTTTTCTGGTGGGTGGGGGTTAATATCAACAATAAAAATAAGATCAGAGATTGAAAAGTAAGAGAGTGGGAGGTAAAAAAGCCAGGTCCTGGTGAGTCTTGGCACCTCAGGAAACATATCACCTGTCAAACATGAAAACAAACACAGCGCTCTGTGCCCAGCCTCTTCCCATGGGCGATCAGGACAAAGTCCAGAGGACCAGAGAGCTGGTGGCCAAAGAACCAGCTTGCAGGAGGAGTGCCTGTGGATGGGCTGGCATCCAGGGCACAACAGCCAGGTCAGGACTTCTCACTACATTCTGCTCGACTGGGCAGACTGAGCTCCCACGGGATCGGATGCCCAACTCACCAAACTGGCTGGACCTCTGAGTTGCAGGCAGTTCCTGGTGGCACAGCCTGGAGGCTAGGGGCAGAGGCTCCTCCTTCCTTAGGCGGCCCAGCCTGGTCCTGCTTGTCTCCCAGCCCCTCACCCAGAAGCAGCAGTGATCATCTGCTGGCACAGAGCCTCTCCGGGGTGGGGACATTGCTGGAGGCTGGATCAGGCCTCGGAGGGTTGCAGACTGTTGGTTAAGAAAGCAACAACTTTTCCAAATACTCAGCGTCATCATAGTTGGTAAGAGTTATCTGACATTTACTGGGTGCCAGGTACTTTATAGATACAAACTCTTTAAGCCCAACCACAACCCATCATTAAGTTCATTTCACAGGTGGGAAAGCTGAGGCACAGTGGCAAGGTGTGGCGGAGGTTAGGCAGGGAAAGTGGGAGGAGAGGGCCAGGCACCATCATGGGTGGCGCCCTACTATGCGCTAGCCTGATGGTGATTCTCCTTCATGCCTGTGATGGGTGGGTGGGGTTAGCATCCCCATCTGTGGATAAGGGAGCAGCTCTGCAGGGTTTCCTGAGGTCATGTGGCAGATACCCGGCAGAGCCAGGGCTGGGAGCCAAGGGCCAGCTGTGTGATTCTGAGTCCAGTGCTCCTTATCCCTCCCACATAGGAGCCCCAGTTAGCAAGGGTGGGGCCACAGGTAGAGAAAGGAGCTCTGGACTCTGGGAATCTTAAGTTCTCCACCTCGTGCTTAGCCCGAGCTTGCTGTGCCATCTGCCACTTCTTGCTCTCTCTGGCTCCTCTGAAAAATACAGTGATAAAGGTCTTCTTATGCACAGTGATATTGCTCTGGGGTAACAGACTAGAGTGGACGGAGCCTTGAGGCAGTGAAGGTTGGAAGATGGTGCAGGGAGCTCCATGTGACAGTTTTTCAGATGCCAGAGTGCCAGGCAGATTCTCCCTGGCCAGGTACTGCGGCACCAGAAACCCCAGGCCTGCCTGCACCCCACAGAGGAGCAGAGGGTCTGGCCTGTGTGAGGGATGGCACCATGGCAGTAGATCTCAGCACACTGGACCCCCCTGAAGAACTGAAGAAACCCTGATGCCCAGGCTGTACCCACAGCAGCTCGTCCGGGTCTCTGGAAGTGGGGGCTGGGCATCAACAACTTTTAGAACTCCTAGGGTAATTCCTGTGTGCAGCCAAGGCTGGGCACCACCACTCTAGGGCATTAGGAGACAGGGCCAGAAAAAGCCTTGGCCCCCAGGTGGGCTTTCCAGGGCCTGTGACCTCTTGAAATTGGAAAGAAGCACGTGCCTGCCCATCTGTGTGCGTCTTTCTAGGAAGAATTCACAGCTTTCATCAGCTTTTCTGACCCAAAGGAGATGAAAATTTTTGCTTGAGCCCAGGCATTTGAGACAGGTCTGGTCAATAAGGTGAGACCCCATCTCTACAACATAATCAGCCACGTGTGATGGTGTGCACCTGTGGTCCCAGCCCCATGGGAGACTGAGGCAGGAGGATCACTTAAGCCCAGGAGGTGGAGGCTGCAGTGAGCTGTGTTTACACCATTGCACTCCATCTTGGGCAGCAGAGCAGAGTGAGATCCTGTCTCAAAAATATATATATATTATATTAGGAGGAAGCAACCCATCTCCACCACAATCCAGCGATATCATTCTAAGGATCAGAAACCTCCAGCTGCAGGGTCAATGCTGGTCTAAGAAACTTTCCTGATCTCTCTAGACCTCTCTTTTCTCTCCTGCTTCCTAAAAATATACACTGAGAGCTGCTTATACACAAGGCACTGTTCTGGGCTGTGGGACACAGGGTGAGTGGAACAGGGGCAGCCCCTCCTCTTGAGGAGCCCATATTCTAGTGGCAGATGTAGACACACTAGTGAACAAATAGGCTAACTGCAGTGAGGGTGCCGTGTAACAACCTGGGCTGCTCCTTCGAGTCTCCTGGGGAGCCCAGCCCTACCCCTAGGGATCCTGATGACTTGGTGGGGGCGGGAGGGGGGCCTGGGCATGGCCTCTGTTGATTGCAAGGAGCAGCTGTTGATTGCAAGGAGCAGCTGGAGTTGAGGTCTTCTGAATAGATTGGGTGTTCAGGAAGGGCCTCTGGAAGGAGGGACGTCAGCCTTCTGAGCCAAGGCCTGCAGGGGAATATGGGAAAAGAGTAATCCTGACAGAGAAACCCTTTTGCAAAGGCCCTCAGGTGGATATAAGGGCCTGATATACCAGGACAGCAGGAAAGAGGCCACATGAGCCCATGGAGGGGAAGAGGACAGAGGAGTGGCAACCCAGGTGGGGCCCTGCTGGCCACACAGGGACCCTGGATTTATAGTCAGTATGTCTTCGTCACCTTTGGAGAGTCGCAGACAGGAGTGACAAGATCTGGGTCATGTTTTTCAGAGTCCTCCCTGCTGCTGTGTGGACGACTCGTGGGTGAGGGCAGAAGTAGGCCCTGTGACCAGCTGCACTGGTTTCGTGGAAGGTGAGTCCTGGGCCAGGAGGAGAGGTGGATTGGAGGGGACACACGTGGGCTGTGGGGTGAAGAAGGTGGAGACTCGAGCATGGCTCTTGGGTGTTCAGGCTGAGCCACTTGGTGAGTGGAGGGACCATTTATTCCCCTCCTCTGGCTCCTACAGCATTTAGAGTCCTGGAGTGCTGGTCTCCAGGGAGGCTTGGCAGCAGGTCCTGGCATTCAGAGCTAGCCCAGAGTTGAGCACTTCACCCACCCCCCACCCACCCTGCAGGCAAGGACAGAAGAGGCCTGAGACCAGTCCCTGTAGACTCAGGGACAGTGGATCTCAGACTGCCTTCAGGTGGCCGAGCACTTGAAAGCCCTGGTATTCTTCGTGGCAGTCCCTCCATCTGTCTGTCCATCCACCTGTCCACCTGCCTACCTATCCACCCCTGCATCTAGCCAGTTTTTCATTCGGCAACATTTGTTGAGAGTCTACCTTGTTCTCTTAAATAACATAGTCTTCCCCTCAAGGTATCACAGTCCTCAGGGGAAATGGACATGTAAGTAGCAAATGACTGCACAATATGCATTACAGGAACGGCCATTCATCCACAGCCCACTGTGTGCCAGGCATTTCGCCCATATGATCTAATTTAATGTCTGGACAAATCTGCAAAATAGGGTTTTGGGGTTTTTTTGTCTTTTTTTTTTTTTTTTTGAGATGAAGTCTTGCTCTGTCCCCCAGGCTGGAGTGCAGTGGCATGATCTTAGCTCACTGCCACCTCTGCCTCCGGGGTTCAAGCAATTCCTCTGCCTCAGCCTCCTGAGTAACTGGGACTATAGGCACCCGCCACCACACCCTATTCATTTTTGTATTTTTAGTAGAGAGATGGGGTTTTACCATGTTGGCCAGGCTGGTCTTGAACTCCTGACCTCCTGATCCACCTGCCTTGGCCTCCCAAAGTGCTGGGATTACAGGCATGAGCCACTGCACCTGGCCTAAAAAATAGGTTTTGTCTTTGTCATTTCACAGATGAGTAAAGTGAGGCTCAGAGAGGTTAAGTCACTTATCCAAGGTCACACAGCTAGGAGGCATTAGAACTGCATTCAAACCAAGGCAGTCTAATGCCAGAGGCTGTTCAGGGAGCTGCTCCAGTCTCTAGTGCCACTGGAAGGAAGGAGAGGGGGAGTGCCCCTAACCAGCATGTGTCTTGGGGGTCAGGGCATAGCAGAGGCAGCGATGACAAGGCTGGGTGGAGTAGGTTTCCTGGAGGTGGAGATTTCTGAGGTGAGCATTAAATGATAAGTAGAGGTTGGTAAAATATTAATATAATAATTTTATTATGCAAACTGATTTGGCAAACCTGATATATTTGGTCAGTGAAAATTATCGTTGCTCAGAAATGGTCACTTTGCCTGTTGCAAAGTATAACGTAAGATCAGCACCTCACCAGGCATGGTGGCACACCCTGTAATCCCAGCACTGTGGGAGGCCTAGGTGGGTGGATCACCTGAGATCAGGAGTTCGAGACCAGCCTGGCCAACATGGCAAAACCCCATCTCAAATAAAAATATAAAAAATAGCAGGGCATGATGGCCCATGCCTGTAATCCCAGCTACTTGGGAGGCTGAAGCAGGAGACTCACTTGAACCCAGGGGGCAGAGGTTGCCGTGAGCCAAGATCGCACCACTGCACTCCAGCCTGGGTGACAGGGCAAGAGCGAGACTGTCTCAAAACAACAATGAGGAGCAGCACCTCCATCCTGCTGCTCATGGCTCTCCGTGACTGTTCTGGAAGTTTCCATAAGGTGTGCCTATACCTCATTCCCTTTAGCTGTCAGTGTTTTAAACACAGGAAAGCTTGGGTGGAGTCTCCAATATTTACCAAAAGTATACACAAGAAAACATAACAGTGGAGGACATTCTTCTGGCTTAATATCATCTGTGAATTAAATCCTCATCCCTCACTTCTTCCTCAAGTACTGAGCCAACTGATGGTGATGACAGATGCCAGCCCCAGCTCCGGGTCACCAAGTCCTGACCGTGCCAGGCGCTGACCTCACTCCCTCTTCAGGACGGGGGTGCAGTTGGGAGTTCCAGTGCCCAAGGAGATGAATGAGGCCCCGGAAGTCCCTCCTCTGTGGCCACACATTGGCAGAGGATTTGAACCCTCGTCCGGGGATTCTGTGTCTTCTCTCTCTAAATTACAATCAATGCCTGCCAGACAGCTGGCTGTTTCCTTTCCCCGAAGATCCCATGCTGAGGGTGGTCCTACCCCCTGCTGCCTTTTATAGACACTTGTGGGTGCACCATTTGATCCCCTATACTGGGGCCAGCAGACTTTTTCTGTAAAGAGCCAGCTAGGCCAGTTGGCAGGGCTATGTGCCAATACACCTTTTTTATGAAAGCAGAAATTGAGATTCCATGTAATTTTCATGCCTTAAAGAATCTTTTAATTTTTCTTTTAACTATATAAAAATATGAAATCTGTTCTTAGCTCAGAAGCTGTATAAAAAAGAGGCAGGGGGCCGGGGTGGTCTGCAGGCTGCAGTTTACAACCCTGGCTCCACACCAACCCTTATTTCTGTCTCATGGATGGCAGGCTGAGGCGCAGCTCTCGGCATGGGAGAGCAGAGCCAGACATAACCCCTGGCCCTCTGAATCCAACCTCTGGTGCTCCTTGGAGCTCGGCGGTGGTTGTGGATTCCTTGAAGTCGATGCCATAGCCCATTGTGGGTGACCTGGCTGTGTCCCTGCTGCCGGCTGAGCTGACTCCCTTGCCTGTGTGGACTGTCCGTCTCCTGCCGAGTGTGGAGAATGTCCTTCACCCCCTGCTCCCTGCTGCTGTGAGGCAGAAACAGCTACACCTGCAGGGCAGGAAGACTTTGTCTTCTGGATCTTGGCCAGCTTGCCTGGTTGCCGCCTACCCAGGTTCCAGGTATCAGCACGATCTTCTCCCTCGGGTGATGTCCAGGTACCCTCTGGGTCTGTCCTGCTGGCCGGGCTGCCTGGCTCTCATTTCAGCATCTGGACCCACCTAGCTGCCTCCTGTGTGAGATGGAGCCCATGGGTGGTGTAAGGAGCCAGGCAGCCTGGGCCCTGTCCTTGCCCGTCCTCCTACTTGTAACCTTGGGCAGGCTCCTTCTCCCCTCGGTGCCTCCGTTTGCACATAGAGGGCTGAAGAGCTTAGCTTAATGCCTGACAAAATCTGTGTGTGTGACCAAGGGACCAGCCAAGCTTGCCCAGGGTCTGGAATATCATGGAAATACCAGCCCAGTCATGTCTGCCTTGGCGGTGAGGTTCCCATCCTCCTCCTTGCCATCCAAGCAGAGCTCCTCGGAGTCCTTCTGTCCTCACACCTAACTGGACAAAGGAAACCCGGCCATCCCTAGAGATCCCTTTATGATCCCGGCTGTTGCCCAGAAGGGACCCCTTCATAGAAGAAAGATCTTGGGCTCTGGAAACCAGTGCAGCTTATGAGCTGTGTGACTGGGGCACGTTACTGAACCTGTGTGAGCCTCTGGTCAGCCAAGGATACTCACTTCCTGGGCCGGTTGTGAGGATGAAGAGGGATACCATCTGAAAATGGCTTCTTGTCGTGGTTGCTACTCCCTGATGGCCACCTTCTCCCTCACAGACCCCATACTTTTTTTTTTTTTTTTTTTTTTTGAGACAGAGTCTTGCTCTGTTGCCCAGGCTGGAGTGCAATGACACGATCTTGGCTCACTGCAACCTCCACCTCCTGGGTTCAATGGTTCTCATGCCTCAAGCCCCTGGGTAGCTGGGATTACAGGCACCCACCACCACATCCGGCTAATTTTTATATTTTTAGTGGAGATGGGGTTTCATCATGTTGGCCAGCCTGGTCTCGAACTCCTGACCTCAGGTGATCTGCCAGCCTCGGCCTCCCAAAGTGCTGGGATTATAGACATAAGCCACTGTGGCCGGCCTATACTTACTCTTTTCTAAAAGGTATCCTTTGCTGAATGCCCCCGCCCCCGCAAAGCTGAGCAGAGGACGTGTGAGCTGGAAAGCGTAGAAACCCCCTTCCTGGACTTTCTGAGACTGCAACCCATGCGTCTGACTCAGGGTTGCCAAAGAGCTCTTTCCTCACTTCAATTTCACAAGGATGCCAGTGGCCCTGGTGCCCAGATGCACAGTTAGCTCTGGACCTCGGTTAGAGGACGTTCTTCTGCTGAAGGGCAGCTTAGCTGTTACTGCTTGGGCACTGAGCCTGAGTTGGGCTCTTGGGGGATGCCCTGTGTTGTTTACTGGGAGGAGACCCTGTCAGGCCCCAACACAGCAGATATGTGATAGGAAAGAAAAACAGAGGCCACCTCACTTTGGGGGAGAATCTCTCTTTTCTTGCTGTCTTATTCCTGAAGCTTGGGAAGTGCCTGCGGTATTTCAGGCTCTGTGCTGGGAGGTGAGAGAGCAAAAACAACAGCTATCCTCGATGTGCGGCAGACTCCAGGAGCCTTCCTAGGCCAGGACGGGGTTTGGGCATCAAAGGTCTTGGGCTTTCTGGGTACAGGGAAGTCATGTTTTCTCCTCTCTAGGTCTGGGGAAGGCCCCTGGGGAGGTGCCCAGGGTGCACTGCCCTGGCTCCTGAGTCAGTGCCATCTCTGCCAGTCTCAGACCCACGCCTTAGACCCCCCCCAAGACTGGAAGAGCCATTTTGTCCCATCTCCCTACATAGCACTTAAAATGAGTATTTTTTTTAGATGCTTCCATGCCACTTGTGATGGGGAGCTCACTACCACCCAGGCAGCTTTTTCCTAACTTGGGCAGCTTTGCTTCATGTGGTACCTCCCAAATCTGCCCTTTAGAAAGGCAGTTAAAGTAAACCTCTAACAAAGCTGCTAGGGGAAAGAAAACTGGACTGGACCCCTTGGGAGGTCATGAGCCCTCCTCAGTAGCCACCTTCCCTATCACTGGAGGTATATAAAGTGGAAGCTGAGCTCCCACTTGACAAGGAGAATAGAAGATTGTTGATTGTTAACATGTCCAGAAAAGAGTAGGGGCCGGGCACAGGGGCTCTTGCCTGTAATCCCAGCATTTGGGGAGTCTGAGGTGAGGGATCACCTGAGGTCAGGAGTTCGAGGCCAACCTGACCAACATGGCAAAACCATGTCTCTACTAAAAATACAAAAGTTAGCCCAGTGTGATGGAGAGCACCTGTAATCCCAGCTACTCGAGAGACTGAGACAGGAGAATAGCTTGAATCCGGGAGGCGGAGGTTGCAGTGAGCCAAGATTGTGCCATTGCACTCCAGCCCAGGCGAAAGAGCAAGACTCTGTATCCAAAAAAAAAAAGAGTAGGGAACCTACGTGTAGCCTGGGAAATTGCAGACTTTCAAGAAGCCCGCACCTCGGGCTTTCCCTTCCTTTTGCTCTGTGGCCTGCCCTTCCCCCTCCATAAGGCAGGGAAACACAAGTGGGCCTGGTGCCTTCCCCACCACCCCCCAGGCAGCTTTGCCCATGCAGCTGTCCCAGGCCAGCTGTCCAGGCCCCAGCTGCCCGGCGGTGCTGGCTCCCTTGGCCCCACAGGGACTGAAGGCTGGCGGTGGGCGCTCCTGGATTTTCCGGCCTCAGAGTCAGGGTAAGGCAGTCAGCTTCCAGCTTCCCTCTTCCTCCCGGGGTCCTCCCCTCGCCTAGGGTCTTTTGGAGTGGAGGAGCACAGCGTGCTTAAGCATGATTTGTGTCATTTCAGAAGCACAGCTTGTGTCACTGGGGAGACTGAAAACTTGGAAACAAGCTGTGCATCTGATCTTAGAGTGTCGGTGAAATGCTTTATGGGATGGCACCTCTGGGACTTTATCCTGGGGCCACTGGGGTTTCTGAATGGGTTTCATGAGGCCCATGAACTCCCAGAAAGTATTAGCATCACAAAATGCTAACTGCACATGAATTTTCTGGGGGACTCTGGGAGCCCCCAAATGTTAATAAGTACTGGCAAATAGGATGGAATCCTATGTAACATGTGAAGCTATGTTGTAGAAGGGCATTTTATCAACACATAGAGAGTGAATACTGTAGAATGAAAAAAAGTCTGCAAAACGCTGTACAGAACGAGCCCAACTTTGTTTAGAACCGTTTGTTATACACAAACACACATGCATACGAATTATAGCTTCTAAAGTGATGACAATTTTTCATCTCTGGGGTGTGTTACATTTTGTTTGATTTCTGGCTTTCTGTTTTTGTTGGATAGTCTACAATGCATGTTTCTTGCCTCTGTAATAAGAAGCTGAGACACTCAGCCCATTTTCCGAGAAGCCAGAATTCCCCTTCTCACCTTGGCAGCCCCCACAGCTCCCAGCCCCTAGTCCCAGAGGGAGTCTGTGGAACCAGCACAGGTCTCACTTCTGCGTCTCTGTCAATGCGTCACTAACTTCCTGGCCCCCTGACTTTAGCCAGAGTCCATCCGTGCAAGTTTCAGAGCCTGGGTCACAGAGGTGCGGAGCGAGGGTATCCCTCTATCATTTTGCTCCCGGAAGCCACAGCCCCAGTGCAGTGTCTGACCCAGATCCTAACTGCCAAGCATCAAGTACCTGGCCCACGAGATTGCTCATGGGACCTCATTTCCTAGCGGTGTGGCTTTGGACTAGTTGTCTGACCTCTCTGGGCCTCTGCATCCTGTAAGGCAGGGGCAGGGTTAGAACTCACCTCCTGGGGTTGCTGCAATGGCAAATCAAGATGACCCCCTCACTGGCCTGCCTGCCTTCTCTCTTCCCCCAGGGAGTTCCAGGACTGGCAGGATGGGCTCAGCCTGTATCAAAGTCACCAAATACTTTCTCTTCCTCTTCAACTTGATCTTCTTTGTAAGTATGTCCCATGCCACCCTGACTGTCCCGTACCATCCTGACTGCCTCCGAGAGATTCTCCTCCCAGGGGTTTCCCAGCCTGAGCCCTTTCAGCATCAACCAGGCTGGGAATTGGGAAGGTTTGGGGGTGGGGACTGAGGATGGACTGTCTCAATGGAACCTGGTAGGGGCGGCGAGGAGATTCCCTGGCATTCCCAGTTTGTCCTTTGACAAAGCTTTAGAATCCCGACCCGGCCTTCCCCTCTCCTAGAGCACCGGAAGCCTGGGCTGGCCAGGGCTATAAATGGGTATGGGAGGACAAGGAGAGCCCCTGGGCATCCCCCTAACTCCACAGCAGGAGCTGCTGGAAGAAGCCTCTTAGCATCTCCCTAGGCCTAGGGAAGGTACCAGGCCCTCCTTACAGGAGGATTGTTTGAGGCCAGGAATTCCAGAACAGCTTGGGCAACATAGCAAGACCCTGTTTAATCTACAAAAAGTGACCTGTGACAGTTCCAGGCCCCAGTTGCCCCTATGACACCCCATCCCTGTTGTTGGGAGGTATCTCCCTGAGCTCTCACAGGGTGAGCAAGAGGGGGCCAGTGAAGGGCACATACCTCCTTCCCCAGACCCACCCCAGCAGGCCTCACTGGGTCCCCAAGCCACGGGCCATCCGGATGTCAGCTCTGTGGACGTTGACTGCTGGTTTTCCTGGGGCCTCGGTTTTCCTCTCTGGCCTGGCACGGACACCTCTTACCTTGGCATTGCTGGGAGGTGGGGTGTGTGTGAGTGTGTCGTGGGGGGAGAGTGCCCTGGAGAGGCCTTCCTAGCCCCGGAATAGTGTTGGGGGCAATGGCTTCTCCATGTTGGTAATTTACCCTACACTGTTAAACAGGATTGTACAGTAGGATGTTTATTATGATCCACATTTTTAAATGTACCTGTTCATCAAAAGTGAGCATATTTGAGAGGAGAAGAAAATCCCTCTGAATGTTAACTTTGGGATTCCCGGGAACTTTGATTTTGTTCTTTATGCATCTCTGTATTTTCCAAATTTTCTATGGTAGATATGAGTTACTTGTTTGGGGAGGGGGGTTTACATTGCAAGTTACGTAGTTCATGGGAAGTTTGGGAAATAAAAAAGAATCATTCCAAATTCCCCTTCAAGCCAGATATGGCGGCTCCTGCCTGTAATCTCAGGGCTTTGGGATTCCGGGAGGATCGTTTGAGGCCAGGAGTTCGAGAACAGCTCAGGCAACATAGCAAGACCCTGTTTCTCTACAAAAAAAACTTTTAAAATTCCCCTTCCTAACTTTAACCCAAGGCATAGATATGTACACGTGTGTTCCTGGCACCCGCATACAAGTGTACACACACGCATGTGCCCACACAAGCAGCTCTGGCACAGGGCTGTTTTTGTCCACCCTGGCTGCCTCCTAGGGGACCCTCTGAGGCCCCACTGTGGCTTGTTCCTGATGGCAGCCAGCGCTGGAACCCACCCCAGGCCAGGCTGGGCTTCCCCAGCTTGGTGGTCAGGTCTCTCCTGGCTGCCCTAGGACTTTGGGAAACAGCTGCCCGTGTAGGCAAAGCCAAGCTTTCCTGGCAGCCACTTGTTGTCTGGGCTGAGACTCAGCATAAAGGCCAACAGGCCAGGACCGAGGGGTGGGGGAGAGAGGAGAGCTATAGCTCTATCCCTGGGGGCTTTAGAGACTAGAGAGGGGGGCCTGGGATCTAGCCTGGGAGGTCACAAGGAGCTTGAGTTTCAGGGGTATGAAAACTTTCCTCCACGCAGTGAGTGGGTGGGGAGATCCTAGTAGAGAAAGGGAGTGGGGTTGGTGGTGTTGGCCAGGGTGTCCCTTTCTGCGCTGCTCCCAGGCTGCCCTATGGAACCAGGGACTGGAAAAGCTGCTCTCTGGCCAAGGCTCAGCCTTCATTTGGCTCTCCAGGGAGCTGGCAGGAGTCTGGTGTTAACTGTCCATGTGCCAGGGCCCAGGAGGACCCATCAGGATGCTGGAGCAGGAGAGGGGGAGCCTGTGTGACAGGAGGGTGAGAGAGAAAGCAGAAGGTTGGGGGAGGCAGAGCAGGCTTGTTTATTCCTCAGCAAACGTGTATCTGACACTCAGTATCTTCAGATGTTCAGGATGGAAGAGCCCTCCCTGATTGCTATACATCCAGAGCTTGTGTCCTAGGGAGCAGTGGGCCTCCAACAAATAACTACTCACATGGCTCACATGCATGGAAAATTGCGATTGTTGGGGTGCTAGGAACAGATAGGCTCCTGGGAAAGCAGATGAGGCTCTTGGCCTGGTCAGGGAGGTCAGCAAAGGCTTCCTGGGGTTCTGGGCATGGCTTTGGGGAGGGGGTCAAGGGGTCGAGGCAGAGTGCACCTCCCAGGCACAGACCAGGCTGGCCTGCCTCTTTGATTTATGCACATTGGGAGTGGTCAGGTGCTTGGATTTGTGGTTTGGAAAAACCCCCATGGCTGCTGTGTGTGCTTTGCCTGAGCTCCCTTTGGACTCTAGACTCCCCAGCAAATGGCCACTTTTCTCAGGTCCAAAGAAATACAGAGGCACTGCTGCTGTGGCTCTGTTGGGGAGGGACGCTCGCTGCCCTGAGGGTCCTGGCTCCTGGCTGAGTCCCATCTGGGGACTGGAGAAGGGCTGCGGAGTGATTAACATGGGGCGTGCCCCGCAGCCCCAGTCTTCGTTCACAGAGAAAAAGGGGTGCCATGGTGCCTTACCCATTCTGGTAGGCTGCCCAGCCTCCTTCCTGCCTGTGCCACGGCCCTGTGGCTGGTCCAGCCACACCTGACCATCAGGCTGGGGTCGTCAGACCTGCAGAGGGACTGAAGAGGTAGCCATGGGGACTTTGCTGTCTGGGTTCCTCTTGGTGAGCTGAGGAGGCAGCTGAGGAGTGTGGGGTTTGGATCTGCTTGGGATTATGTGTGCCCAGAGGAGACTTTCTGTCCTGCCTGCCACTCCCTTTTGGTGGGAGCTGTCCTCCCTCCTGTCCCTTCCTGTGAATGTGGGAGGGAATGGAGCAGAGGCTCTGCCCATGTGGGTCTGAGGTGCAGAGGGAGCAGACATAGGCCTGGGCACTGGCCTCTGCCTTACTGTCCTGTGGGGTGGTGGCGGTCTGGGAAGGGGTGCAGGAGTCTTGGGGAACCAAACTCCCAGGTCCTGGAAAGCCCCACTTTCCCCCAGCTGTGCAGGTGAATGTGGACCCACCTTCCAGCAGACCCTTCTCCTCCCCAGTGTCTCAGGGGCCTTTCTGTCCCCAGAGACTGGCTTTCTTGGTGAAGGCCAAGGACAGATCACAGATATCCCTAGAGCACACCTGCCACTGTTTGGCTTCCAGTCCCTAATGGATAAAATCAAGTCCTCCTATAAAATTCCCCGTGTACAAAATGAGGACAATTACAAGGCCCATCTCACTGGGAGAGAGGAGAGGACAGAGAGGACCTCCATGATGATTCTGGTGGGAGACATTGGGGGATAGATGTGGGGTTGTCACCATGCCTTTGTGGTTGTAGCCATCAGCCACAGTGGTCTTTAAGGAAGCAAGTTCAAGGGTAAGAAGAGAGAGGCAGCCCCCCCCCGCCCCCACTGAGCCACCTGGGCCCTGGGGCAAAAGGAGTTGTCGATAATACTGATGCTGTCAACATTTTATTTCACAATTTAATAGTTCATTTATCACGGATTTGGGGCCTTAATTTTTTTTTTTGAGACGAAGTCTTACTCTTGTTGCCCAGGCTGGAGTGCACGACCTCAGCTCACTGCAACCTCTGCTTCCTGAGTTCAAGTGATTCTCCTGCCTCAGCCTCCTGAGGATCTGGGATTATAGGTACCCACCACCACACCCAGCTAATTTTTTGTATTTTTAGTAGAGATGGGGTTTCACCATGTTGGCCAGGCTGGTCTCGAACTCCCAACCTCAGGTGATCCACCCACCTTGGCCTCCCAAAGTGTTGGGATTACAGGCACGAGCCACTGCACCCGGCCATTAATTTTCTTTTTAAACTATTGCTGCAAAATATTATTTATCTTAATTCCTGAGTTTTTAGTGCCCCCTTCTGTGTTACCCCTGAGGCAAGGTGCCTCCTGCCTTGGGCTAGTCAGGGCTCTTGTCTTTGATAAATGATAGAATGAGGCCGATGGAGACATTGGGCCCAGACCAGCCCCAGGCTCAGGACTCTATGGTAGCTGCTGACCTGAGACCTGAGATTATGGGATGATGGCTGAGGTTTGAACCTGGGGCTGGTGATACAGGTGGGAGTTTCATCCATCAGGTGGGTCCAGTCCAGACCCCATGTAATGGCCAGCCTTGTGGGCTGACACAAGGCCACCCCCACCTGCAAAGTGAACTTGCATCTTTACCCAGATGACAGCACTTCCCCAGCCTTAGCCAGCTTTGTGGGAAGGTGTATCTGGGACACCACCTGGGGAGATGACCTCAGCCCTGGTAGATGGGAGAGAAGCAGGGAATCCCTGGGCTTGGGGTCCTTATTTGTAACCCCTCATTCATTGTTTTTCTTTCTGGTGGGGTAGGGACAGGGGTCTTGCCCTGTCACTCAGGCTGGAGTGCAGTCTCATAAACACAGTTCACTGCAGCCTTGACTTCCCTGGGGTCAAGTGATCCTCTCTCCTCAGCTTCCCCAGTAGGTGGGACCACAGGCATGCACCACCACATTGGCTCATTTTTGAAATTTTTTGTAGAGTCGAGGTCTCACTGTGTTGGCCAGGCTGGTCTCAAACTCCTGGGCTCAAGTGATCTGCCTACCTGGGCCTCCCAAAGTGCTGGGATTACAGGCATGAGCCACCTCGCCCAACCTTCATTTTTCTTTCGAATCCTGCATTTGCCGTTTGGTTCACGAGCTCATTCATTCCCCCAGCCACTTAGCGCCCAGTGTGATAGAGCTGCTGAAGATGCAGAGCCGCCTCCAAACAGGCCTGCCCTCAGGGGGCTCACAGTCTAGCCAGAGAAACCATCACAGCAGTTAGACCCAGTGGGAATGACTTAAGTGGTTGCCTCAGAATGGGGTACCTAAATCTGCCTGAGGGGGTCAAGGAAGGCTCTTGTGGCAGGTGGCCCCATTGCTTAGACCTGGGGATGAGTTGGACTTTGATGTTCAAGTCCACGGAGTGTCTTCCTCAGAGCCTGTCTTGTTTGGGAAGCTCCTGGGCCCTGAACTGGGTGGGTGGAGAGGATGAGCTGAGAAAAGGGCTGGGAGATGCGGCAGGAAGGGTGCCCCTGGCGGGAGGCTGCACCAGGAGGCTCCGTTGAGTCACACGTGGTAGAGGGGTGAGATGGGGGCAAGAGGGACTCCCTGCCCAGGGTCCTGCTGTCTGGCTTGCTGGACTGTGGGACATCCCTGAGGCCATCTGGATATCCCTGGCCTGGAGAAGGGTGGAGCTGATACCCTCTGTGGCCCCCTGCCCTGCCCACCCCACCCTGACTTGGGTTGCAGGGACAGCTGGCAAGGGGAGGGCTCTCACCCCATCTGCTCTTGGCTCCCCATTAACTGTCCCTTTCTCCTTCCAGATCCTGGGTGCGGTGATCCTGGGCTTCGGGGTGTGGATCCTGGCTGACAAGACCAGTTTCATCTCTGTCCTGCGTAAGGACCCCTCGGCTTCCCCGGAACCCAGCCCCCTCGAGACAGGCACAGCTGCTCCCACAAGTGCCTCGGCTTCAATGCCTGTTGCTTTTCCAGCTGACCTCAGGGATGTGGCCAGGTCCCGCTGCCGACCACTGCCCATGGCTCCCTCTGCAGGGGTTTCCAAAAGGAATTTTCTCTTCTTCCCCGAACAAAGCTGCCGTTGTCTGAGGAACACTGGGGGAAGAGGGAGGCTTGTTTTCCCTCCCTGGCCCCTTCCCTCAGCCCTGACCTTGGGAAAGCCTCTTATATTCTCTGTCCCTGCACTTGCCCACTCAGCAGAATGTGGGCAGCAGTCCCTCCCATTTCACAGAGATGTAGGAAAGATAGATTGTCAGAGGCTGGTGAAGCAGCCGCTATGAGTGGTCCTTCACTGTGAGTCTGGCAGGAGCTGGGTGGGTCAGGGTATGCACGGATAGAAAAGTTCCAGGCGCAACCACCAGCTATCATGCTTGTCATGTGCCCAGCAGTCTGCACCAATAAACTGCTTTTTTTTTTTTTTTTGATACAGAGTTTCTCTCTTGTTGCCCAGGCTGGAGTGCAGTGGCACAATCTTGGCTCACCTCAACCTCCATCTCCCCAGTTCAAGCAATTCTCCTGCATCAGCCTCCCAAGTAGCTGGGACTACCGGCATTCACCACCACGCCCGGCTACTTTTGTATTTTTAGTAGAGATGGGGTTTCACCACGTTGGTCAGGCTGGTCTCGAACTCCCGACCTCAGGTGATCTGTCCACCTCTACCTCCCAAAGTACTGAGATTCCAGGCATGAGCCACCATGCCTAGCCTGATAAACTCTTAATCCCACCACAGCCCTGTGAGGTAGATACTATTCGCTTCCCTCCTTACCAATGAAGAAGCAGAGGCTCAGAGAGGTTGTCATTGCTGAAGTTCACACAGCTTCTAAATGGGAGGTATAGGCCTGAGACTCCAGGGGCTTTGGTCCTAAATGCAGCACATGGCAGGGTGAGCCACAGTGTGGAAACCCCTTCTCTCACTCTTTAGAGGCAGAAGGAAAGGAGCCCAAGGCATTTCTACAGAGAGAAGAGCCCTTTTGCCCTACTCAGCCTCCTCCAGGAAGCCCTTAGGGCCTGCCAGGCTGACCTGGGTGGGGGGTGGTCCCTGTGGTGGGAGGGAGGCACAGTGGAGGCCCCCAGGGCACAGCCATGCCACTCCCCTTGCTGAGTGTGGCCCTGGCTCACTTCTCCCAGCAGCTGCCCAAGGCAGCTGGTTTGGAATGTGGCCCATGGCAGCTGCTTGATTTACATAAAGCGGAAGCTGGCTAGATTGTGACGATGAAGGGGCCACATCTGTCCCCCTGACCCCAGGGACTAGGCCTCCCCTCCAGGAGCTGGAAGGCGAGGATACTCCACACTGTAGCCACATCTGATGCACCTGGAGCTGTCGGTCTCACCCCTTTCACCCTCCATTCTTGGGTTAGGGAAGCGGGGCGGCCCATGCTCCGAACACTCTCTCGACCTGTGACACACCCTCCTCGGCCCCATTAGGCCCAGCTCTCCACTTCCTGAGTCACAGCCCAACCCAGCAGGCACTGCACCCCAGGGCAAAGTCTAGAGGCCCAGCCTGCTCACCCACATTTCTGCCCCCTGTGCCCTGCCCCAGGATGGTGCAGTGGGGGTGAGCCCATTGGGTGGGGAGCGCTTCCTGCTGCAGCTCTGGCCTCCTCCCTGTTAACAGGGGTCTGAGAATCTCAAGCTGACCAGACCTTCAAGACCTACCATATGCAGCAGGGGGTGCATTTTCCAGATGCTTCGACCTGAGCCCCACCCACCCCGAGGGACCTGACTCCGTTGGTGCGGGTGGGAGCCTGAGAACTGGTGTTTTCTAAAAAGTTTCCCCTGGTGGATCCCCAGACAGCCAGGGTTCAGAAACACTGATCCTCTAGCCTGTCACTAGGGACTTGTGTAAACTGAGGCTGGGGGTGGGGAGAAGTGACTTGCTAAGAGTCACGGAGCACGTGAGGGGCAGAACTAGGGACAGCTCTTTCCCTACTGAGTTGAATCCCTGCTCTGAGTCCATGGGCTGGGCATTCCTATCATTTTACAGAGGAGGAAATTGAAGCACAGAGAGGTGCAGTAACTTTTTCAAGGGCACACAGCAAGCAGGTAGGGGAGCTGACTATAGACCAGGTGGCCTAGCGTCTAAGCCTGTGCCTTGAACCCCTGGACCACCACATGGCTCTGCAGTCATGTGCCACTGGTTAGCACCTTAGTAAGAGGAAGCACTCTGCAGCGAAGAGCAGACTGGAGGCTGCCTGCTGGGGTTCGATTCACAGCTGTGACCCTCAGCACATTGCTTCACCTCTCTGTGCCTCCTCATCTATAAAATGAGGATTGTAATAGAATGTGCCCTTTCTGTGGTTACTGTGAGAAATGAAATTAGCCTCTCATTTTTATGTGAAAAGAGTTAAGGACAGCCCCTGGTGAAAAACCCCACGTAAGTGATTGCTAACTAAATTTTATGATACAATTTAATCCCTTTGCCACCTTCAGGAAGCAGGTTTAGACCCATTTTACAGAGAAGGAAATAGAAAATGGCTTACACAAGGCCAGAGTGTGTTGCAACAGAGCTGGGATTAGAATCTGCTTCTCGTGATTCCTCGTTTCTGTTTGGGTGACTTTCTTCCTACATTCCTGGTCCCTTCGAGGCCCAGGAAGACTAAAGAATCGAGTTTTTTTGTGTGTGCCGTGCACTGTGGATGGCCTGCCCCGGAACATACTCTCGCCTGCTTCCTACGTCAGGTTGCTCAGATTTGGCGTAGGCCTGGGATCCTGGGTGAGGACAAGAAACGGTGTCAGTGAAATATTCTGAGATGTGGAGCCCTCACAGTTCTGATCTCCTGGGGGAAGGATCTGAGTTGGGGTCTCAGCCCCGGGCCTTGCCTGCCAGGCGCCTTGCAGCCTGCCAGCCTCTCTGAGCACAGGGTCCTTGCGCACATATCAGGATGTGAGCACAGCCACAGAGGGCCATTGCTGAAATTAAGCAGGATGCTTTGGATAAAGGGCCTTGTTCAGGGCTGGCACACAGCAGCGGTCGGGGCAATGCCAGTTTCTTTTTTCTGGGAGTAGTCACTGGGAGGAATTGTTGGAAGTCAAACCCAGGAAGTTTAGGAAAAGTGGTATTGACAGCCTCTCCCTGCCCACGCCGATAGCTGGGGCTCGGTGCCAGGAGGTCCCTATGCTCACCCTCAGGAAGCCAGGGGACTCCTGTGAGGAACTGGGTGGAGGGAGCCTGGGAGTAGGGTGGATTGGCCAGGGCTCTTCCTGAGCTCCAGAACATTCTGTCTGTGACCAGGAAGTGGAGCTGAATCCCACAGACTCCCTCCCACCATCCAGCTTGGTAGTTATTCCTTAAAGGAATATGACCAGCCCCAGACCTGTATTCTTTCTGCTGATGGTCAGGGGTTGGCCCTGGCTGTGCCTCAGTCCTTAGGGGAGCAGGTTAAAAATGCAGATTCTTGGCCTTCTGCTGAGAGTATCTTGGTCGGGTTGTACCAGACGCAGGTATCTGCATCCCTACGAGCCTCCTCCGATCCACAGTGCTGGAGACCATGCCCAGCCTTCCGGAGTGCCTGGGGCTGTGGTGGGAGCCACCTACATCCTGGCCCTCCAGGTTTATTCCATGCCCTGGGGATACAGTGTATCGATGCCGGTAAGCTAGAGATGACATGAGCTTTACCCTGTGTGACAAGTTGGGTATCTTAGGAAATGCTGGCCAAGTGTCCCGGTAGGACTCTTGACCTCCACCTCCCGGGGTGGGCCTGTCCACAGGTGGCTCTAAAGAGAGTCTTAGCCATCAGTCCCTCCCAGGCTCCTCTCTCGCTCTCACTGGTCCATTTTTTTTGCTTTCTGATCTTCACATACACCAAGCTTGGCCTTGGCTAACGCCTGTAATCCCAGCACTATGGGAGGCCGAGATGGGCAAAGCACAAGGTCAGGAGATTGAAACCATCCTGGCCATGGTGAAACCCCCTCTCTACTAAAATACAAAAAAATTAGCCAGGCATGGTGGCTCGTGCCTGTAATCCCAGCTACTCAGGAGGCTGAGGCAGGGGAATCGCTTGAACTCAGGAGATAGAGGTTGCAGTGAACTGAGATCATCCCACTACACTCCAGCCTGGGCAACAGAGCAAGAATCCGTCTCAAAAAAAAAATACACCAAGCTTACTCCTTCCTCAGGCCTTTGCACCTGCTGTGCCCACTGCCTGGAATGCTTTTCCTGCAGATTTTCCCTTGGCTGACTTCTCCATTCATGTCTCAGCTCACATGTCCCCGGCTCAGGCTGGCCTTTCTCAACCCATCCCAACCCTCTCCCTGCCCAGCAGGTCTCTGCACTTAGCCAGCTTTGGTACCTTTATGGCGTATAACACAATGAGAAAACCTGTGTTGTGGACATTTTGTCTCCACTCCCATCACCAGATGTCAGACCTCATCAGTCTCTCTTCTGTATCCCCAGCAGTTGGCACTGTGCCTGGCATGAAGCGGCACCCAGTAAATAATTGTTGACTGAGTGAACCTGCATCACACCTGTCACAATACATGTCCCCATGCATCAGTGAAAAGAGTGTGGCATTGGAGGCTTGCATATTTCCAAATCCCAGCTCAGGCCCTTGCCTGTGCGCCTTTCTGAGCCTCAGTTTTCTCATCTGTGAAATGGCCATGCTAGTGCCTGCCAGGCAGGGTGATGTCAGAATTGGAGGTGGTGTGTGGAAAGCCCCGAGGCACAGTGAGTGGACAAGAAAGGCTGCCGTTTGTTGTATGGACAAAAGGAAAGGCAGGTTAAAAATCAGCCTGCAATCAACGTCCCTGCCCCTGCAGAACCAGCCAGCTCCTCATCTGTCAATTCTGTAGATACGCACTGTGTGCAGCACCTCACTGAGAGAGGCGCTGTTTGGGCCGGGGGTTCCCTGGGAATAAAGCAAAGCTTCTGCTGTCATGCAGCTCTGGTTCTCGGTGGAGGAGTGGAGCAGACAATGAGCAGGAGGGACCTGTTTGGATCAGGAGTTAAATGTCTGTTCAATCCTGAGGAGTGTTACAAAGAAAAAAATAAAGCTGAGAAGGAAGTTGGGCTCCATAAGGGTACAGATTGCAATTTGACAAGTGGGAGGGACACATCTGGGGATGGCAACTTCCAAGGGAATGAGCTGGTTCCCTCTTGGACAGTGAAAAACCAGCAGGGGAATGCAGCTGACCCCAATACCCAGGCTCCAAGGAGGGGATTGGGAAGCAGACCTGGGCAGTTAGGCCGGGCGTTTGTACCCGCTGGACCCACTGATGTCATACTTATGAGTAGGTACGTGTCTTTTCCCCGTAGAAACCTCCTCCAACTCGCTCAAGATGGGCGCCTACGTCTTCATCGGCGTGGGGGCAGTCACCATGCTCATGGGCTTCCTGGGTTGCATTGGTGCCGTCAATGAAGTCCGCTGCCTGCTGGGGCTGGTGAGTACAGGTCCCTCTGCAGCTGCCCGCCCATTCCCTTTCATCCAGCCAAGCGCAGCCTGAGCACTGCACTGGTCATAGCCCCAGGTGGAGAGCATCTCCCGAGGCATGTGGGCTGGGTACACCAGGTAGGGAACCGCGGCTGACTTCCTGCCTGCTTTGTGTCCCCAGTACTTTGCCTTCCTTCTCCTGATCCTCATTGCCCAGGTGACGGCTGGGGCCCTCTTCTACTTCAACGTGGGCAAGGTAAGCCCCCTCTCCCTCCCTGCCCCATCACTAGGCTGGACCAGCCACGTGGGGGATTGACAAAAATCCCCCCAGTTGTCACAGACAGACCCAGTTGGTGTCAGGGATGGCCTCCTGGATGATATTCCATGTAATCAAATGGGGGAGCATTAGAGGAGAAGGCAGCAGGTGTGGGAAATCGCTGCTGGGCCTGGATCTCAGCCTGACCCACTGCTTTCTAGCTGTGTGGCCTTGGGCAAGCTGCTTGCCTCTATGTGTCTGCTCCACCGCCTGTGAAATGGGGACAATAAGAAAACTGAACGCTCAGAGTGGTTGCAAAGATACTTGAGATTATCTGAGTGAAACGCATAGCACAGAGCACCATAAGTACTCAACAAATGTCAGGCTTGTTATCAAGATGCTTTAGCAATTATTATGCCACTCACCCACAAATGAGGGGTCGGAAGGGAGATGTTCAGCTTTCAGAAATAGAAAATCAGACTCAGACTTGAAGGGCGTCTGCGGTTGACATAACCGGAAGTCTGGTTTGGAAGCTCGGCGGCCCTGGTTCTGGCTGTTCAGCATCCTTGCTGGGATGGTTTTCCTGCATCGTGCTGCTTACCTCATGGATCCAAGGCAGCTGCCATAGAACCAGGCACGGCATCTGTGCTGCTGTGGCCAGAAGATGGGGAAATGTGCAGTGCCAGCCATGGCCATCCCTTTTATCAGAAAAGCAAGCCCTGACTGTGTGCGGTGGCTCACACCTGTAACCAATGCTTAGGGAGGCAGACTTGGGGGGATCACTTTGAGACCAGCCTGGGCAACATGATGAGACCCCATTTCTACAAAAAAATTTCTTAAATGCTGGGCATGGTGGTGTACACCTGTGGTCCCAGCTACTCAGGAGGCTGAAGCAGGAGGATCACTTGAGGCCGGGAGGTTGAGGCTACAGTAAGCCATGCAACAGAGCCTGGGCAACAGAGTGAGACCCTGTCTCAAAAAAAAGAAAACCAAAAGCATCCAACAGACTTCCCCAGACTGAGTTACAAAGCCACCCTCGTTGCAAAGGAGGCTGAGAATGTGAGTAGCCAACTGTCAGATTCCAAAGACAGAGACACAAAGAGCCGAGGATGGCTATTGGGTGAGCAGCTGTGAGCCACAGTTATCCACTTATTATATATGAAGCACCTACTGTGTGCACATGGTATCTTCTAGAAGCTTTCCATACGTCATCTTGTCCTCACAATGGCTCTGCAGGGTTTTATGTTGACAGAAGGAGAAGCAGATGCTCTGAGATGAATAGCAATAACCACGTTGATAACAGTGACCCTAACCTGCACCTGAGTCCATGCACAGCATATACCAAGGACAGTGCATATACCACGTTACACTCCTCCTCTCGGTGATCCTCACTAGGCCCTCTCAAGGTAGCAGGAGAATCTCCGTCCTGCAGATGAAAGAGTACGGGCAGCCTAGGCGCCCTGACTCCGAGTCCTGAGTTCACCCGTCCCCAGACCCTGCCGAATGTGGCCTGTGGCCTAGCAGACCCTGGGGTCCCTGCTTCCAGTGCCACCAGTTCTTGTCCAACAGTGAGGGTGGCAGAGCCGGCAGCCAGATGGGCTCCTGCACTTTACCACTGGGAGGTCAAGTTGCCCAAGATCCCTCTTGGAAGGAAACTGAGCTCAACAACTAACACTTAGTAGAACTTAGAACAAGCCTGGAGCTCAGCGCTTCACACCAACTGCATTAATTATTCCTCACAACAATCCTGTGAGATCATGGGCATCAATAACCTCCATTTTCAGATGAGGAAGCTGGGTCACAGAGAGATCAAGCAGCTTGTCCAAGTTCACACAGCTAGTAAAGTGGCAGGGCCAGAACTGGAACCCAGGAAGCCTGGCTTCTGAATTCATGCCTGTGAAATTTTCACTGTGGCAGTTCCTGCCTGAATCTGTTTTACTTATTTATTTAAGCAAATAAATCATATTTATTTTATTTATAAAATAAATAAAAATTATCCTTTATTCTTGTTTCCCGGGAGAATTCGATCTGGCTCCCAACATAGGCTCAGGATAGCTAAGGTCAAAATGAGAGCAGAACCTACATCAAGAGAGAGGAAGGCAGTTGTTCCTGAAACCAGAGGACAAGATACTCTTAGTAGCTAAGGGCTAACTTGGGCACCGAGCTTCCTGGCAGTCAAGGCGAAAGTGGAAAATAATGGATTTTGTAAATGAAAAGCAGCTTGTTTGGCTATGAGACTGGAGACCAGCAATTAAGGGAGGGAAATTCCTTTCCCGGCAAAATGGATGTGGGATCAGGTCTTCATTTCTGCCTTATGGCACTGGAGCTTCCTTAGGACACAGTGATATAATCAGGGTGGAGTAGAAGCCGGCCCAGGTGAGCTGATTCCTATGACTCAGAAGCTGGATGCCTCTGCAGGGGTCTCGGGCAGTCTACCCTCTCACCCCATATGATTCACCATCTCACAGTAATAAAGATAGCACCCACCGAGTGGGCAGCAACCACATGCCAGGAGCTGAGCTAGAAATTTGAGCTGAAATACACGTGTGAAATTTACAAACATTTTCCATTTGAAGAAACTGAGGCCCAGGAAAGCAAAGTGTCTTTCGGCCACTGACACATACAGCTTGGATGCATCAGAGTGGGGATTTCCATCCTGATCCCTTGGACCCAAGGCCCATGCCTCCCTGTACACCACGCTGCCCTCCCAAGGGCTGCTTAAGTCTGCTTGGCTGACGATGAGGAGCTTAGCCTTAGAGCTGTCCTATCAGCCCCAGTCCCGGACTTGTTCGGAGATGTGGGTTTCCTGACCCCCGCCAGGCTCTGTGCTTGTACCCCGCCCCCATTTTTCCCTTTAGAGCCCACACCCCACACCCCCTAGTCCCACTGTGCCTCACCTTAGCCCACCACCACTTTTTCTGGAAGGCAGGGGGAAATTTTCTGGCTTTGCGAGGAAATTCTGGTGCCACTGTATCGCCCAAGTTGGAATGAATGATTTATTTTTTTCTTTCCCAGCGTGTTGTAAATCTCAGTGGAAGACTAAACACACTGTCGGTGGTGTTTATTCTGGCAGACAGGGCTTGGCAGGGGGTGGGGCTCATTTGAGCCTAAGGAAGAAAGGCCTTTTGAAAGGAGATAGGGCTCCCAGGCAGGTGGGTGGGAGTGACCTGCTGTGGTCTGCAGGCAGCCCCTCTGTTCTTCCTTCCCCTGTCACCCGCAGCCACTGTTCTCAGAGCAGCATTGGGGAAGTTGGGGACCTTGGCATGGCATGTGACCTGTGGAGCCTTGGGTTCTGCTTCTATAAACTGAGAATAAACCTGCTTCTCCCTGCCCTGCCACCCACGTTGAAGCGAACACAGACTGTGGCACTTATAAAAATGCGGAGCGGTGGCCAAGGGCCTCGGCTGTGGAACCACTGCTTTGACATCCTGAGCGTGCTACTCAGCCTCCCTGTGCTCCGTTTCCTCATTTATCAAACTAGTGACAATGCAGGCCCCCGTCCCTTCTCTGCAATTTGGAAATCCAAAGAACACCTTGGAAACCAAAAGTAGCATTTGCAGCTCATTTGGTGGCAAAATTGAACCTGAGGGGAAGCAAGGCTGTGTATGGCCTTTGCCTACCCCATACGGGTGTCCCTGGGGAAATAGGAACAGGAGTGATTGCAGGTTGCTGCCCCGGCCCCGCTGGGGGATGTGATCTATCCCCTCCAGGCCCTTTCTGCAATGTGATCCTGTCTGCCAGAGCCTGCAGGGGCTTTGGATGAAGAGCACTGGCGTAGGGGAAGGGCATTATGCGGCACCCGGCCCGAGGCGATGTTGCTGGCATCATTACCAGTGCTTATTACTATTGCCCCCGTTATTCACTTCATGAAGGCCTGGTAAGGGCTCAGTAGGTGGCAGCTGTTCCTGCTGCCCTCAGAGTCACCAGAGCAAGGGCAGTGGGATTTGGGCATGGCCCAAGATCCCTCCAGCTGTTTCCTCATTTGCTTGTTTATCCAGCCTCTGTTTGGTGGTCAGAGCCCAGCTCTGGGATTCAGGGGCCCTGTGTCTTAGTGTGGGCTCTGCCGCTGTTTGCTGCGTGGCTTCAGATAAGTTGTCCCGCTCCTCTGATCCACAGGTGAGCTCTTGGGCCGTGCCCAGCGCAGGCAGTCAAGAATTCTGACTTATTCTCTCTAGACAGTGGGGGTGGGGGGTGAGATGGAAGCAAGTGCAGGTTACCCTTTCTGGTGGTGTGTGGGTGCTGAGCTGGATGCCCTTGGCCTGCGGTACCTCTGCTAGCCAGGCCCCTGAGGCTCTGAGAATAATCAGACTCAAGCAGAAGCTGCTGGCACGGAAGGGGCTCACTTGGCCTGGCTGAGAGCCAGAGGTGGGGGCCATGACAGTGGCAGTGCCTGGCCAGACAACTCCCCAGAGATGTTGTTCAGGAGATCTGCGATTTCCTTCTTGTCGTCCTCTCTCTCACCCCGAAAGCCCCCAATTGCTGGTGCGCACATACCCTCATGTGCGATACACAGGTGGCCAGATGGGTTCCTTGTTACTTGGGGACAGTGTGGCTCTCGGTGAGCTGTCTGCTTGCTGGATTAGCACTTCCTGATTCTCTGGCTTGGGGTTCTCTTGTGAGGGGCATGGAGAGGAAGGACAGCTAGAGCCTGGGATAGGGAGAGGGCCTTTCTCTTCCCTGTTGAGAGGAGAATGAGAGAGTCCAGGCTGCCCCTCTGGAAAAGGATTATGGAGAGACGTGGTCCAGAGTCTCTCAGGCACATGCCAGTCACTGGCTCTGGATTCTGGGATAGCTAGTTATGTGGTTTGCAGCCAGGTTTGCAGGGCAGATGCAGCTGGTCACAGGCTCAATGCCCTGGCCACCCCCTTTATGGCCAAGGGCCCTCATTTCCTATCAGGGCACTGGGACGAAGCCTCCGAGCTGGTGTCTCTGTATTCTAGCGAAGCATTTGGCAGCATCTCCTGTGGGAAACCTGGAGAGGACAGGAAGATGTGGGTCCAATTCGTGCATTTGTACCTCATTCTTAGGGGTGATTTGACACCTTAAAGAGCATGGCGAGAGGTCTGCACAGCAGACCAAGGGCTGGGCACAAGAGCCTGGAAAGTTACTCTGGAGATGTAGTCTGGTCTCAAGTAGCTGGATGATGTGCCCTTCGAGAGAGGGATTTGATTTGTTCCTGTGGTCCTGGCTGGGACTTGGGTAGCCAGGAGAAGAGGAGGATGTGAACTAATACAAGTGGGCAGAAGTCATTTGAGCACAACTTTAATTGTATCAACATACTCAGGAGGCTGAGGCAGGAGGATCACCTGAGGAATGTGGAGGCTGCAGTGAGCTGAGATCACAACACTGTACTCCGGCCTGGGCAAAAGGCTGGTGGGGCCTCCCTAGCTCCATGGAGACATAGAAGTAATTTTCCCCAAGTAGCAGAACTTCTTCGAGACAGTGGATTTCTGCAGGGCAGACAGAAGCAATGGAGTGGTCCCTGGTGGGATGGAGGGAGATCACGAATGTCTGCTCCTGCTACCTCCTGCTCTTTGTCTCGGTAGCTACCTGATTGCCAGGGTGACCTCCCTGCACTCCCAGCACAAGCCTCTGCTGGAGTCCCAGGGTATCAGCTCCAAGCTGAACCAGCCCCTGCAGCCATGGTCCCCATGGCCCACCTGTGTCCTTCAACCACATTCTGGACTGAAAGATGTTGTGATGTTTCCATGGAAACCACCCATCTAGGTGGAAACCACCCAGCCTCCATCACCTTCTCATTTCACGGGCCTGGGAGAGAAACAGGAAAGTCCAGGCTGCTGTGACAGCCGCACTGAGGTCTAAACAGAGCCTCGGCACAACGTGTCATGAGGAAGCTGGGCGGGTGGGGAAGGATGTGGGAGGCAGGCTTTCCGAACAGATGCTTCTGAGGAAACCCTCCTTTCCACACCTCAGGGATCAATCACCCACTGGGGTTGAGAGGTGCAGCTGAGACGTCAGGGCAGAGAGACCTCAGATCTGCCGGCAGGCAGCCCCAGCTACGTGACTCAGGCAGACCACTTAGCATTTCTGGCCCTGGTTAAAACTGGGTATGGCCATGTGGTTTAAATGCCAGTAAAGCTTAATAGGTAGAAACCTGGGGTCTGAAATCAGCCAAGCCTGGATACAAACCTCAGTTCTTCCACCTGTGGCCTGTGTGACCTTGGGCAAGTTAGTTAACCTCTCTGGACCTGTTTTCTGCATCTCTAAGATGAGGGAATGGGGTGAATACCTAGCCCATAGGTCCACTGTGAGGATTCAATTGAGATACTACATTTATAATGCTTACCACAGCACCCAGTACACAACAGACATTTGATAAAAGCCACTGTTAGTGTTGTGATTAATTACCAACAGGAAAGCTTTGTAAATTGCAGAACTCTGCATACCAGTTTTTTCTTTAAGTATCATGCTGAAAGCTTTATTGAGAGGAGTGCAGGGAGCATCATGGAGGCTGGTTTCCCAGCATTCATTTAACCAAGGGAGTTGAGTGAGGAGCCAGGGCTGCAGGATATGGCTCCTCTGAGCACAGTGTGCGTTCCAGAACTGCCCTTGGGGAGCTGTAGGAAGCCCAACCCACAGGGTTCCCTGGGAGTCAGGCTCTGAAAAAACATCTGGAAGTACTTGTCCCATTTCTCCCAAATCCTCCTGCTCAGGACCTGAGGTGGGAAGGTATGTGGTCTTCTCCTTGGCATCCCTGCCCTCTAGGGGCCCTTGCCCTGGGGCTCCCCACAGCCGTGACCAGCCCACCCATGCATGTGCCCCAGAAGGCCTCTGGGTAAGGTCCATGTGAGAGGCTAGGTGGGGCCAGGCAGGGGCTGGATCTCAGAGCCCCCGCTCCACCCAGGCCCGCTTATGGCTGAGGGAGACCCTGCCCTTAGCTGGCTCTGCGTTTTCCTCCCTTTGTACAGCTGACTTATTTTGAAACCCCTCCTCTCCCTGCTTTGTAAATTAGTGTTTTCTCTGTGGGGTTAGCTGAGAGCAGGTGCTGCTCTCCACCACAAGGAGGGACCCTGAATTCCTGAGCAGGGTAGGAACCAGCATAGGCAAGATGTGGATTTGGGCTGGTCCATGTGCCGCAGGCCTGTAATCCCAGCACTTTGGGAGGCTGAACCGGGCACATCACTTGAGATCAGGAGTTCAAGACCAGCCAGGGCAACATGGTGAAACCCTGTATCTACTAAAAATACAAAAATTAGCTGGGTATGGTGTCACACACCTGTAGCCCCAGCTACATGGGAGGCTGAAGTGGGAGGATCGCTTAACCCCAGGAGGCAGAGGTTGCAGTGAGCTGAGATCCTGCCACTGCACTCCAGCCTGGGTGACAGGGAGACTCTGTCTCAAAAAAAAAAAAAAAAAAAGTGAGATTTTGTGGGGTTCTGGGGCAAGCAGCCAGGTCCCAGAAGGGCAACTGAGCTCACACTCTGGCTGGCGGTGCTGCTGGCTTGAGGCCTGGGAAGGGGTAAGGGAGGGTCTTTTCTGTTTTGTTTTTTTGAGATGGAGTCTCACTCTGTCACCCAGGCAGGAGCGCAGTGGTGTGATCTTGGCTCATTGCAACCTCCACCTCCCATGTTCAAGCAATTCTCCTGCCTTAGCCTCCCGAATAGCTGGGATTACAGGCTCCCACCACCATGCCTGCATAGAGGGAGGATCTTTTGACCACATAGTTGATGCTGAAGTTCCAGGCCCCCCAGTCTTGGGGTCCCCTCTAGGTGTCTACCCTGACATCTTGGGGACCCTGCTTGGAGAGGCTGCACTCAGGTCCTTGAAAGAAGGAAAATGAGCTGGGCTCTCCTTCCTGTCCGTCCTTCTCCTTGAAGCTTCCCTGTGGGAGGATAAGGGTTCACCAAGAAGCTGCATGGGTTTGGCTCTGGTGCCTGGCAGAGCGTGGTGGTTAGGTGTGCATTCAGCACTCATGCACACCGCACACCTATTCTGCGCTAGGCTGAGTGCCAACCATGGGGGACCCTGAAGTGAGTGTGCCAGATGTGGTTCCTGGCCCCCGGAGTTGATGTGTGAGCAGAGAGAGATCATAAGCCCTGAAAACCAATAAGCATGTAGCATCAGAGCTCTAAAGAAAAATACAGCATGCTTTTCCTTGTGGGAAAAGGGATGCCAGGGGAGGGGTGGTTGGTTGGTGGTGGGGAGAGGGGATGGGGAAGAGCTGATATTCTGTAGAGTGGTCTGGGAAGGCCTTTCTGAGGAGGTGACATTGGAGCAAAGCCCTGAAGGAAGCAGAGGGTGGGCCATGTTAATGTCTGGGGGAAGAGCATTCCGGGCAGTGGGAATGGCAGGTGCAAAGGCCCCAAGGCAGGAGTGTGCCTGGCACAGAGACAGCAAGGAAATCTGCGCAGTTGAAGCAGAGGAAGCAGAACAGAGGAGGCAAGGTCTGGGGAGCAGAGACAGGTGGTGTAGGGCATCCTAGGTTGTAGTGGGGATGCTGGCAGTCCCACCTGCCATGGTGGTGGGAGGTCCCCGCAGGGTTTTCAGCAGTGACCTGAGAATACTGGTGTTTTCAGGGGCTGGGTTGCTGCCAAGTGCAGAAGAGACAGTGGGGCAGGAGTGGCTGGCACTGGGAGCACCAGGAAAGTGGTTGGAACCATGGGCGTGTCCCAGGCTGGCTGAAGGGAACAGGGAAGGCAGTTGAAGTAGGGGTGATCACAGGTGGGCACGGGTTTCAGGAAATCTGACCCTGGCCTTGTCCTCCCCCCTGCAGCTGAAGCAGGAGATGGGTGGCATCGTGACCAAGCTCATTCGAGACTACAACAGCAGTCGTGAGGACAGCCTGCAGGACGCCTGGGACTACGTGCAAGCTCAGGTGAGACGTGCGGGGCAGCGGGAGGCTTTCTGGTCTGGGCGTTTCTGCATTTAGGGCTCTGTGTGCCCTCGTGTCTGGGAGGGGCACCTGCAGTGTGCGTCCCTGACAGTGAGTTTGTAGGGGAATGTGTTTCTAAGGGGTCAGGGCACCCCAGTTACTCAGAGGGGGCCCAGAGACTCAGAGGCAGCTTCACAGCTCCATGCTCCCATTTGTGGCCAGAGAGACCGGGGGCAGCTGTCAGCTCTCTTATCTCAAGCCACACTGGGGAGCATTGGGAGCTCCACCCTGGGTGTTAGGAAACTGGGTGCCAAGGCTGAGATGCTGAGAAGTCCCCGTGGAGGCTGCCTCTGGGAAGGTCACTGGCTGGGAGGTGCTGAGGGAGACTTCCAGGGTAACAGGAGTATTCCAGCCAAATATTGATACTGGTTTCACCAGGATGTGCACATATGTAAAAATTCACCAGGCTGAATGTGCGCCCATTAGCTTATGTGTATTCCACCTCCATTAAAATGAGATGGACGGACGGAAGAACTGATGGATGGACCGACCGACTGACTGACAGATGGACTGACCAGGTTCCCAGCCTGTGTCAATGGTGAAACGATGGCCACCTGGCTCTCCTTTCTTGTGGTCCCAGATGCTGTGTGTGCCCTTGGCTGGGACCCGCCATCTCTGTCCCGCAATCCTGTGAGGGCACAAGACACAGCGGTCACTTAGGGCCTGTTGACACCTCAGGGGAGGGCCGTGGGGTGTAAGGGGCAGGGGCAGCAGAAGAAAGCCTGACTCTGGGGCACCAGGAGAGTTTACAGACAGGACACTCCACCTCGGAGACATGGACATGGCCATTTTCTGAGCAGAGGAAGGGAGAGCCATGTTTTCTGGCCCTGACGGAGGAGATCAGGTGTGGGGGCCATGGCAGCCGGAAGGCTCAGTGCGCACAGGGAGGTGTTTTGGTCACAGATGTAGTTTGACCACAATTGCTGAGACTTTGATAATGTTAGCCAAGCCTGGATGTCACCAGTGACATAAACCAGTGCCACCTGACAAGGGACACTGGGGTCCCTTGGATGTGGGGAGCAACCCACCGTGGAAAGTCTTTTGTTGGTTCTAGATGATTCTTATGCTGTCATGCTGCTGGGCTGGGCGAGTGAGACTCCCAGGCCTGGACTGCCACTACTGCCACTGCCTCCAGACCTTTGCTGAGGCTGCCTCCTCATCTATATGATGGGGCTACTGCCCAGGCCATGTGAGATGCATTGTTAAAGCCTGCAGCACTTAGACGGTGTGTACTATGTGGTATGTTGGTGGTGATGGCGAAGTCACTCTGCATATCTGTGGAGACACAGGTGGAGGTGGCATGTGTTGCTGGGGACCAGGTACAGCCGGGATCAGGGCAGGGGGCTGCTTGGAAGGAGGCTCTGCCATAGATGGTCCAAGGAGACCTGCCTCATTTTGCTTTGGTGCAGGATGGCCTGTGGGCTCCCCCAGCCCTGCAGACCTGAGGTGCCAGCCTTTTCTTCATGAGAGGAGGCAGCCAGACTGTTGGAATGTTATGTCCATAAGCCTGAATTAGCAACTGCCTGGAACTGAGCATTCCTGAATGTGCCTGGCACGCCCCCTGCTGGCCACTGGCTGCTGGTTGGGCGACACCCAGAGATTGGAAGGAAGCAGTCAGGAAGCAATCCCTGCTGGGCCCCACACTATCCCACTGAATCCTCCTGGGAACTCCAGCATTTCGGGGGATTAGTGCACAGAGGCCTCCTGGAGCACACAGAGCCCAGAAAGGCTTTCCTTTCTCTAGAACTAGAGCATTTTTCTCCTTTAAAATTGACCTGCCAGGTGTGGTGGTTCACATCTGTAATCCCAGCACTTTGGGAGGCTGAGGCTGGCAGATGGCTTGAGGTCATGAGTTAAAGACCAGCCTGACCAACATCATGAAACCCCATCTCTACTAAAAATACAAAAAATTAGCCGGGTGTGGTGGCACACGCCTGTAGTCCCAGCTACTTGGGAAGCTGAGGCAGGAGAATCGCTTGAACCCGGGAGGCAGAGGTTGCCGTGAGCAGAGATCACAACACTGCACTCCAGCCTGGGCAACAGAGCGAGACTCTATCTTTAAAAAAAAAAAATAAAGGCCGAATTGATTTTTCACTTTTCACTTTTTCTCCTTTTCACCAGGAAGCTCAGAGGCAAATCTCAATCCTGCACTAAAGTAGAAGGGCCTGTCCTAAGCTTACTGTGCTCTCCAGACCCGCGCTGGGCACTTTGCCGGCCTCATCCCGTTTAGTTCTGCTGATAGCCCTGTGAGTTAGGAACGTTAATTATCCCCATTTTACAGACGAGGAAACAGAGTCTAGTCCCTTGAGGGAGGTTGCTCAGCAGGCAGGTGGCAGGGCTGGCATTTAACCCAGTAGCCTGACTTGAAACCCTGTGCTGTGAGCTGTCCACCGTCCACTCTCCCTGTGCCCTGCATACCTGTGACCTTTCCACTTGAACTCCCTCCTATTCTGCTTTGTATTTTTGCTGGTCCTGGTTTTGATTTTTCTACCATGCTTGCAGTTTACGATGGTTCGCCTGGAATCAGGGGCCTGGAAGTGGCACATCTGAGCTTCTGTCTTGGGGAGGCCTCTGCCAGGAGGGCAGCCTGCCTGGGGTGGGCAGTTAGCATAAGCAGTCTGTCCCCTGCCTTGCCCCAGGTGAAGTGCTGTGGCTGGGTCAGCTTCTACAACTGGACGGACAACGCTGAGCTCATGGATCACCCTGAGGTCACCTACCCCTGTTCCTGCGAAGACAAGGGGGAAGAGGACAACAGCCGCTTAGTGAGGAAGGGCTTCTGCGAGGCCCCTGGCAACAGGACCCAGAGCGGCAACCACCCTGAAGACTGGCCTGTGTACAAGGAGGTGTGCTGGGTGGGGGAGGGGGAGGTCTGTGGATCGGGGGCTGGGCTCCGAGGGCATTGGGGGCCGTCTGGGCTACTGCTCAGCCCTCCCTTCCTCCGTTTAGTTCCTTCCCTTGTTTCCCCTGTCATTTGTACCTTCATCTACTTCTTTGTTAATGTATTCATTCAAGGAACAGGCAGAGCCCTCTTTGAGGGCCTTCCGGGCTGGGACTGGGGGCTCTTGGTGGATCTGCGTGACGGGGCGGGATGGTGTGACCGTGTTCTCGCTTGCAGGGCTGCATGGAGAAGGTGCAGGCATGGCTGCAGGAGAACCTGGGTGTCATCCTTGGCGTGTGTGTGGCTGTGGCCGTCATTGAGGTCTGAGCCCCCTCTCCCCCATCCCGGATCCTCCTGGGTTGTCTCTGTCCTGCTGATGTCCTCGGGGAGGTGGTGGTTGAGGGGACCAGCACCCCATCAGCTTCCAGAAACCCTCTGGCCTGAGCACTGTCTGGCTGTGTGACCTCAGACGAGCTGCCGCAGCCCTCTGGGCCTCCCTCTGCTGCCTGCGTCTCAGGGTGGTTGTGAGGCTCAAGTTGAGAACCCACTTACTCCCCATCTAAACCTGGATGGGAGGCTGGGGCGTCTGCAGCCAGGACAGCCCAGCCTCCCTCTGACTCTCCGCCTCTCCCCACAGATCCTGGGGATGCTCCTGTCCATCTGCCTGTGCCGGCACGTCCATTCCGAAGACTACAGCAAGGTCCCCAAGTACTGAGGTGGCTGATGTCCTCTTCTCCCTGCCCAGCCCCTGACCTCAGGGCTCCCAGGGTCTCCCTGGCTTCCTCCTCCAGGCCTGCCTCCCACCTCACTACCAGGACCCCCTTGCCAGCCCTGACTGAAAGTAGGGGGCTTTCTGGGGCCTGGCATGCTCTCCTGGCCTTTCCGCTGCCAGCCTTGAGCCCTGGCTGTTCTGTGGTTCCTCTGCTCACCGCCCAGCAGGGTTCTCTTAGCAACTCTGAGAAAAACGCTCCCCACAGCGTCCCTGGTTCAGGTGGGCTGGTCTTCTGCCTGCCCTCAGGGTGTGTATATTGTATAGGGGCAAATGTATTAAAACTTGGGGAGGTGGGCATTAGATAAGGCACTCTGGGCTGCCAGGAGACTGCCTACTGGGTGGGTCAACTTATTTCCCACAATGACATTTGTATCTTTGTTTTTTCACAATTGTATTGAAGGCAATGGGAGAGGGTGGGTTTTACCTATTATTAAGGGGTGGTATCCCTTCCTCAGGCCTGACTCAGTCCCATCCAGACAGCTCAGATCAGCCTGTCCCATACTCTGGGGACAGGGCCTATGGGAGCTGGGCTGGAGGGGCTCGCTCTGCCTGGGTAAGGGGATCTGACTTGGCCCTGAGCTACTTAGGGACAGGTGAGCCCTTGGGGACATGGCACAGAGCTGGCCCTGTATTCTCCAGGGTCCTGAGCTGTCCAAGGGTGGGGAGGAGGAGGATGGATTCTCCTGGGAGAAGGTGGGCTGGCCTTTCTTGGTAAGCTGTCCTCTGTCCCCGGGGGTGGGGGGTGGGGGTGAGGCTGTGCCTTGTAGGGGGGAGTGAGGAGGGGGCTCTGTGTGCCTCGTTCTGTAAAACATACTCAAGGTTCTAAGACTATTAAAGAGGATTTATAACGATATAGCCTGGAATGGTAGGGTTGCTGCTTCCTGGGGCAGGGGAGGACCCAGGGCAGAGGGTATGAGCAGAGTGGCTGGGTCTGCTGAGGACTGCTGGGCCCTCACTGCTCTGTGCTTCCCCCTGGGCATCTGACTCCCTCTGCAGCTGGAGCCTGAGGACAGTGATGAGCCAGGCTCTGAGGGGCCTGCCTGCATGCTGGGGTGCCTGGAGTTTAGGGGCCCGCCTACATGCTGGGGTGCCTGGAGTTTGATTTGGTACTAAGAGAGGTATAGAGTGTACCTCTCACTTCCTGCTTCTGAAACTAGGGTATGGGTCCCCCCAGAAGGAGCACAAAAGTGGGCTGGTGATGGGGGGCAGGCAAGCCACAGGATAAACTTGGCCTTGCTTTCTGGGACATCCGTTTTTGCAAAGGTTTGTGGAAGGAAACATTTTCATACTAAAGAAATGTGATGGAACAATATATGCAGAATTCAGTGGACTTTTTAAGATGAAATGTGAGACTTTGGGAGGTCAAGGCAGGAAGATCATTTGAGGTCAGGAGTTTGAGACCAACCTGACCAACATGGTGAAACCCCGCCTCTCCTAAAAATACAAAAATTAGCCGGGCGTGGTGGTACACGCCTGTAATCCCAGCTACTTGGTTGGCTGAGGCAGGAGAATTGCTTGAACCCGGGGGATGGAGGTTGCAGTGAGCGGAGATTGTGCCACTGCACTCCAACCTGGGCAACAGAGTGACACTCCATCTCAAGAAAAAAAAAAGACTACTCTAACAACTGAGCCCCAGCATACCCCTTTCCCAGCGCCATGAAGCCCAGAGGGCACTTGCCCCACCTTCTCCTCTCATTTCTGGAGGAGTAGGTGGGCAGGAGAACTCTTGCCTCCTTGCAGTGGGGCCGGGCCGGGCAGGGCAGCGGCAGGAGTGATATTTCAGCGGTGACCACCAGGTGGCGGTGCAGCCTCAGCCTAGGAGCCCGACAGAGCCCAAAGGTTCCACGGTTACTCCCCTTCTCGCCAGCCTGGGACCTACCGGAGTCCCACTCCAGTGGACGCACTTGTGAAAATGCAGATTCCAGGGCTCAAGGACTGACACTGTAGGTCTGGGATGGGAACAAGGAATCTGCCTATTTGCACCCTTCTGCGTTGATTCCGGAAGATTCTCAGACCTGGGGTAATGTCTGTCCCAGGCCACGTGCTGACCTCCCAGCAAATGTAGCTGAGGAGGCGTCAGCAGGGGTCGGCTGTGGGTCCCTCTGTGGCCTTGGTTGCCTCCCTCTGGGACGCAGGGAGGGGCGGGAAGTATCGATGGTTCCACCTGGCCTGACCACCCTGGGCCCCCATAGCTTCCACCCTCAGGAAGAGTAGCAGAGAGCCGTTGGGGTATCTTCATAAATGCTTTCTCACGGAGCTAGGGGACCTGAGTCTGAATCCAGCTCTATCTCCATCTTCCTGTGCGACCTGGGGCCTGGCAGGCTGGGGGTGGGCTCAAAACTGTCTGCAAAATAGACAACAGAAAACTCGGCAGTTACTGAAGGGGTGGGTAGCTTCCTCTGACACGTCCATCCTGCCCAGAGCTCACAGCTGAAGGGGCTGGAGCCAGGATTTGAATCCACGTATCTGATTTCAAAGACCACACTCTACTGCCTCCTGCCCTCCCAGATTTCCCACGACAGCCCCAGCTCGTGGAGTTTGTGAGGCCCTGGCCCTTGGTTTTGTGAAATTTGGTCACTGTGAGCTCCAAGACTGCTGACCTCTTCATTTTGGCCTCCTGGGAATCACCCAGTTTTAGCTCCCCACTTACCTCCAGCCTGTGAGGTTTTGGGAGGGAGGGAGCATAGACCCATGTCTAATACCAGAAATGGTCCCTGTAGCCAGCCATTTGTCCCAAGCTCATCTGGGGCTTCCATGCCTTCCAGCTGCCCTCCCTGGGCCCTCTGTGGGCTTCTGACTCTCCTGCTAAAAGCCCTGCCAGGCCCAGAGGACTGGCACATGGTGCCCATGTGCAGGAGGATACAAGGGTGCTCCTTGCCAGTGCCCACCCACAGCTCTCTGGGGCAGGCAGGAAGCATGTCTCTGGCAGAGGGCTGCTCTCTGGGCTCCCATAGGAGGTTAGAGACAGTGCCTAGGATGTGTCCAGGAAGCTGGACTTTGGGGGGCACTGACTGGCATGGCCATTGACCAATGAGAATGGAAGTCAGGCCCGAGCTGGACTAGGATCCTTATGTATGGAATGGTGGGAGGTACAAGGGCTCTGAGAGGTTGGGCTGGGGGGGATTTTCAACTGGCGTAGAAATATTTCACCATTTTATTAATAACTAGCATGGCTGGCTGGGTGAGTACTGAATGGCAGCCTGGTATATGTGCACATACATACAGGCACTCTCTCTCACATGCACACACTTGAGGCCCTGAAGCCCCCTGAATGCTCAGTCCATTCCCAGCTGGGAGGAACCCCAGCTCTTCTTCCCTGAGACTAAGCTTGCAGGTAGCCCGTGGTGAACAGGGAAAGCCAAGTGTCTTCCTGCCTGGCCTTCCCAGGCCGACACTGCAGAGCCCCTCTGCCACTGACCACTGTCCTGTCTCCCAGCAGAGCTGCCTCCAGCCTCTGCCCCAAGGTCTTCCAGTTGAGCAAGTCCCCCAGGCCAAGAGCAGCAGGGTGTAGGGGCACACTGGTGACACTGGAGGACCAGCCATCAGGCATCTCCTGGGCCAGCACTCCCATCACCTCCCCTCGCCTGCAGAGGGACAGAAACTCAAGTTACCGTGCTGCCTCAGGCCCAAGGTCTGGCTGTTCTTTGGGGTCTTTAGAGGCTGTAGGCTAAGGTTCGTTCATTCATTCATTCATTCATTCATTCATTCATTCATCCCAAGAATACTTAATGGGCACAGACTATTTGTGAAGCACAGTTGTAGAATCTTAGAAACAGCAGTGAATAAACACAAACCCCCTGCCCACATGGCACCTGCATTCTGATGAGTGTAGGGATGCTCGCACACAACTGATGCACCAGGACACGTGTGCGCACATACAGCACACACATGCACACCAGCACACCCTCCCACATGTACAGAGGTACATGCCAGAACATGCTGCCAACTGCTGACAGCACAATCTAAGCCGCGTGTTGCTGTGGGATCCCTGGGGCCCATCCAAGGCCCTATCCTGTGGAAGGAAGTAAAATGAACAGTGCGTGGAACAAACAGGAAAGTAGGGGGAAGGACTCATCGCTCAGCCCTGTCCCCTCTAGCCACAGTGCAGGAATCAGCCATTGCCCCAGCAATCCCCTTCCCAACTGAAATCAAATAGAATCAGAGCAGCTGCTTGCTGGAGGTTACAGGCTGCATGAGTTCACCTCTCTTAGTCTTATCTGGAAAATGGGTGCTCTCATTCCTCACTCCCAGTGCAGTTGTGGGAGCCAAATGCGGTCACGTACACAGTGAGCTCATTCCCCAAGCAGCCCATTCCAGGACTGGCCCCAGCTTCAAGTGGGATTTTCTGTCCACTGGGGATACCTTCCCTGAGCAGGAATGAGGCCTATGGGAGGACTTTGGACCTTGGTGCCTCTGATTGGCCCAAGGGACTGGGGCTGGGGCAGGTAAGAGCCTGTGCTCAGCCTCTTGCCTAGTGGGAAGGTGAGCGAGTAGGAGGGCCATTAGGGGACATTTGAGCTGTGAGCTCCAGGCCCCCAGCTGCCCCTCTGACATCATTTCCCCAGCACCTGCCTTCTGAGCCAGGGGAATGTCAGGTCCAGAGCCAAGCCCCTCTTTCCCAGTGACCTCAGATGCCTCAAGCGGTAGCCCCTGGGACAGGAGTGGGCTTCCTGCAGGATGCTGGGGGCAGAGGGGCGGCGGGCAGGAACAGCTGGGAGTGCAGAAGGACTGTGCGGAGGTGAGGAGTGGAGCGAGAGAGCTGGAGAGTCCCCAGCAGCCTCTTGGGCCACCGTGTGGGTGGGAGGGGATGCTGGTGGCAGCTGAAGGAGTGGAGGGCTCCATCTGCCCTTGCATCACACACCAGGGTGAGCCCGGCTTGGGGCTTCCAGGGTGACAGGGACCCTGTGATCCCAGCAGCCAGTCCTCTTGGTCCTGGTTCATAGAGGACTCAGGTGCTTGGGGTGGTGTCTGAATTCTTCCCAACGGGAAGCTGTTGAGGAACTCATTTGGTGGGTAGGTAGGGGTCTGGTAAAAATGGAAGGAGAGAGGCCTGTATTAATCCATTTTCATGCTGCTGATAAAGACATACCCAAAACTGAGCAGTTTACAAAGGAAAGAGGTTTAAGGGACTCACAGTCCCACGTGGCTGGGGAGGCCTCACAATCATGGAGAAAGGTGAAAGGCATGCCTCACATGGTGGCAGACAAGAGAAGAATGAGAGCCAAGCGAAAGCGGTTTCCCCTCATAAAACTATCAGATCTCCTGAGACGTATTCACTACCACGAGAACGGCATGGGAGAAACTGCCCCTCGATTCACTTACCTCCCACTGGGTCCCTCCCACAACACATGGGAATTACGAGAGTACAATTCAAGATGAGATTTGGGTGGGGACACAGAGCCAAACTATGTCAAGGCCCTTCCCCAGAGGGGCAGGCTCTAAACCCAAGGGAGCCCACAGAGGGGAGGAACAGACAGTGGGATTGAGAAGGATGCTGTGAGCAGGACCCCAGATAGGGGAGCTGGGAAGACGAACAGGGCTGATCCTTTGGGGTAAGGTGGGGCTCACAGCAGGCAAAGAGGCAGCTGGGCAGCAAGAGGAGAGTGCAGGCAGCCACCACCGAGGGCTGCGTCGTGGGCCCCAGCAGCCGCGGCACCCTGTCTGCTTCCCAATGATCATCACCCTGACACTCCAACAGTGTAGACACACTTGCTCCCCCCCAACCCCTTTACAGTGTGGAAACCAAAACTTGAAAACACTGAGCTATTTGCAATAGCCCTGATCTACTACACAATCCGGGAGTCATTCATGTCAGGTTCACAAATCCACCTTCAGGTCTAGAGCCAGTTACTGGAGAAACTGGGATTGGCCCCTGGGAACTGTGACTCTGTCCCTTCCAGCAGTTCTCAAGGCCATTGGGAATGAAGACCCCTGGTTCATAAAAAGAAGAGAGGGGTGGGCCTTTTCTAAGTAGGTGCAAGTTCTGTTAAACCCAACTTTTCCTCCATCAATCTATGCAATGAGGATTTATCGGGCACCCACTCTATGCCAGGCATTGTGGAAGAAATCAAGGCCCACCAAGATAATTGTGGAGGAGGCACAGGGGGGAAAAAAAAGCGCCCCGTGTCAGGGACAGAGAGGGAGCAAATGTGATCAAGGCGCTGTCTCTACTTGCCAGGAAGTGCACAGGGTAAGACAAGCCAGTCCCCAAACTGGCTGTTGCCTGTTGATGTCCTGGGCACTGTGGAGGCTGCCCCTCCACCAGGACATGGGGGAATGAATCCAGTCCCATCGGCTGCCTGGCCCAGAGTTTAAGAGGATGCACAGAAACCGATTCACAGTGTGAATACAAATGAGAACCAGGCACCCCCTACCCACAAGGGGAACTGATCTGGGACTCCTGTCTATGTGGGCAGGAAAATCTTTTCCAAGAGGCCAAGGGAAACTATCTGTAGCTTGTGATGATATAAAATGCCTCGTCAGGGATTGCTCAGTGAGTTTATTTAGCAGACAGCTGGGCGGAAAGTTTGTCCAGGTGGGCTTTGTGTATTTCCTTCCTCTGAGGACTGAGGGGGCAGGGACTCCATCCTGGGTCAGTCCATGGGGGATGCGGATCATCAGACCCCCATGACTCCATGTGTGGAATGCCTGTGCCTGGTCCTATATGGAGTCTGGTTTCCATCTCCTTCAGAAAAGGAATGTGAAGGTGGCAGCTTGGCTCAGACTGGGGAATGGAGAATGGAGTGGGGAAGCCACGTGGGAGAGCAACCAGCTTTCCTGCCAGTGTCACAGGGCAGAATGAGCAGCTAGGGTGGAAGTCATGGCACTGGGCATAGAGAAACTGACTTTGTTCTGTCTCAGATGTCCCCTACTTAGTTGCATGTGGTCATCGTTTGCAAAAAAAGTTATTCCCCTTTCTGTATCTATGCTTTCTGAAACATGACTATGTGGCTAGCACCTCTCTGATGGCTGGTTGTGTGACTTCCTTTGGCCAATGGTCATGTGACTTCCTCCTCCCAATGTGGGGGAAGACACAGTGTGTCAATTCTAAGCCTGAGTCTCAAGGAGTTTTGCACAATTCTCCCCAGTTCTCCTCTTGCTCTGTCTCTCTCACTCTCTCGAAACCCTGCCACTGCCTCATGAAGAAGCCACGTTAGCTGGAGCATGAGAGGCGAGTGGGTCAGTACCCCATCATCCCAGATGACAGCCCAGTTAATCCAGAAGCAGAATCACCACCCTACCTGCAGCCAACTTCAGATGCAAGAGAAGACCAGATGAACCATCCAGCTGAGCCCAATCTAAACCGCTGACACAGAATCATGAGCTCAATAAATGGTGGTTGTTTCAGGCTCTAAATTTGGGGGTAGTTAATTACACAGCAATAGCTAACTGAAAGGATAGGTAATCATAATGACAGCTACCATTTGCTGAAGGCCTGTTGCACATCAGGCCCAGCACTGAACACTTGACATACATTACATGGCTCTCCTGACTCATTTAATCCTCACAATAGCTCTGAAAGTTGGCATCTGGATGCACACTTTATAGATTAAAAAAACAGAGTTGAGAGGAGACAGGAGTCTGGTCTGAGGCTGCTGAACAGTAAGAGGCAGAGATCAGATGAGAACCTAAACTCTGTCTTCACGGGCTTGGTGTCTGAATCTCCCTACCAAACGAGCCTTAATGTCAGAGAGAACCAGCATCACTTGAGAGAGTGTAATGTATTCTGCACACGGGAGCTGACATCATTAAGCATGTTCTCAGCCTTCCATTCTCCAAGAATTATGCCCTGTCTCACCCTGTTCTTCTGTCATCCCCAGCCAATGCCTCTAATTCCCTTGGGCTTCTGGAGAGAAAGACAAAAGACACAGATGTCGGGATAATTTCTTTCTTTTTGAGTCCACCTCCTATTTAATCAGTAAATATTTACAGAGGGTCTGTTATGTGCTAATTTCAGAGTGTTCTTTCTTGCATGACACGTTTCTAGGTCCCTATGGCATGCTCTCACTCAGCCCATGTAGCCCTTGTGGAAACACGAGGGTTGTTGGGATTATCCCCACTTTACAGCTGAAAGAACTGAGGTTCCAGAGAAGTGAAGTGGCCACCTGAAGGTCACTTAACTAGTAAGTGACCAAAACAAGATTTAGCTCCAAGTTTGGCTGAATTCAGGCAGGGTCTCTTCTTACTCTGCCACTACAGCTGTAATTTTCTAAAAAAACAACCGGGGCAGGATTTTGAAACTTCCTCTGGGCTCTGTGTATGGCAGGTAGGGGCTGGAAGGTAGAGAGGAGAAAGGATGGGGGCGCTGCTGGAAAATGTCCCCTGACTCTTGGAGCTGGCTGGCACCTATGCTGGGCATGAAGCTCAAGCACTGGGTAATGGTGTGAGCCGGCCAAGGAGGACAGGAGGAGGTCACATGCCCCGGAGAGAGGAGAAATAGCCACAGACTCCAGCCTGCTTCCCTTGTGTCCGCAGCTGACAGGCACAGCCATCACTCATCCCCACCCGCCACTCTGCTTAGCTGCTGGACTGTTGCCATCTTCCACCACCAGGCACTGGGCACTGGGCCCTGCCCCTCCCCGGCTGCACTGTTTACAAATGGGAAATTCAGGGAAAGTCTTCCCAAGCTGTTTTCTCCTGGGGCCATCACATCCCAGGAGTGGGGGCTTAGCTACAGGTCTCTTAAGGGTACCAGAGACCAGCCCCCACCCAGGGTTGCTCCCAAGCTGGGAGCAGACACCCGATGTCCTGACCAATCAGAGTCTAGCTGCATGGAGCCTTTGGCAGTGTGTGGAAGCAGGAGGATATAGCGGTGAGTGGCTGGGAGTCCCATGGGTCTTCTAGGCAATGAGGAAAACTGCTGTCCCACAACTACATGTGGTTGCCTTCCCCTGGGGCAACTTGGGTGCTGGAAATATCCCTGTTTAGCCTTGGGAGCCCTTACTGGCTGAGAAACTTACACTAGTCACCCTGGCCCCTCTGGACCTCCGTGTTTTCACCTTGAAACTGAACAGACATATTCTCAGAGCCACATAACCACACAGACACCGATATGAATTTATTAAGTGTTCAGCACTTTGCAAACATGATCTTAGCTATTCCCACAATGACCCTAAGACCTGAGTTCTCAGCGAGGTTAAGTAACTTGCCAGGGTCCGGGTGAGTGACCACAGAAGGTTTAGACTCAGCCACCTGACTCCCATGCCAGAGTCTCAGCCTTGTGGCTGCCAGCCCCCCTTCTCAGGGTGGGTCACACTTGCAAATGCACGGACGCCCTGCCTGATTCATCATGGGCTGCAGGTCTGGTCATGCTCCATACTGGTTTGCCTGACGCCCTGGACACCGTTGCTGGCCCCAGAGTCTCCTGGTGCCCTAAACCCCTCTGCTGTATCTCCATCATCAATGAGCTGCGCTCCTCTGCTTCCTGGAACAGTCTTCCTCTTTGCTTCCACCGAATTCCTGCTTCTCCTTCAGATCCTCCTTCAGGGAGCTCCCCAGACCATGGCCCCAATGACAGAGGTGGCCTTGCTCTCCTGCGACCCTCTCTATGGGGAGAGCCTCCTGTGTGCCAACACCTGGCCCATGGGTTCAAATGCAGACTCTGCCCTCTCTTTTTAGTCCTTCCTCTGGGAAATGAATGTATAATGGTCTCAACCACATAGCGCTGTGGCCAGGACTAAATGATTTAGCACAGGTTCAGGCTTAGAAAAGCTGTCAGGTTTTAAATGATGTCTAGAGTGTAGGCACTCAGCATGGCCCAGAGTGTGACTCACCATTGTAGGCTTTTCTATGATACAACCTCTAACAAAACTCAGCATCCTGGGTGGGCGTGGTGGCTCATGCCTGTAATTCCAGCACTTTGGGAGGCCGAGGTGGGCAGATCATAAAGTCAGGAGATGGAGACCATCCTGGCCAACATGGAGAAATCCTGTCTCTACTAAAAATACAAAAATTAGTCAGGTGTGGTGGCGCATGCCTGTAGTCCCAGCTACTTGGGAGGCTGAGGCAGAAGAATCACTTGAACCCGGTAGGCGGAGGTTGCAGTGAGCCAAGATCGCACCACTGCACTCCAGCCTGGGTGACAGAGTGAGATTCTATCTCCAAAAAAAAAAAATGTACCTCAGTCTATTCAGATTGAGAAATGCTGACTTAGAGCAAAGCTTGGAGAGGAGAAAAGTGAATATACTGCTAACACTGTATCATAGGGCTGGGCTGGGGATCCTCCTGTCTGAGATAGAAGGCAGGGGGAGAGAAATCTGGAGGGCTTCCTGGAGAAGGAGGTATGGAGGCCAGTGTTGAGGAAGGGTGCCAGTCTTCCAGGGAAGGAAGAGGAGAAGTGGAGGTGTGTCGCCACCAGTGGCCCAAAAGGTTGAGGCTCCAGCCTCCAACCTCACAATGACCACCTCTGGAAGTCAGAGGAAGGCGGCTGCAGCCCCAGCGTGTGACAAGTTCAGGGTCCTATAAATCAGGGACACCCTGAACGTGATGTCCTCTGTCCACTCTGCTTAGGAGGGAGTGGGGCAGGGGCAGCACTTTCTAAAGGTGGCCCAGTCAGGACAAAACCTCAAGCCTGGGATTAGCCCAGCAGGTCTTGCCTGGAGGAGGCACCAAGGCTCTGGAAGGAGAGCTGCCCCGGTCTAGAAGGATTAGGGGAAGGGGAAGAAGGCGAGGTAGGTGATGGTCAGCAGCGTCTCCCATTTCTATCATGGTCCAGAGTGAGGGTGGCCAGTCTGGATTCCCAAAGCAGGCATTAGGACTAGCACTCAGTGAGGACATTCGGAACGTAAGATGCCTGTCTCATTCTCACTGCCTCCTGAGCATAGGCGGGCCATTAGCCTGTTTTCAGCCCAGCACAGGTGGGGAGGAAAGAAGGCAGCGAGAGGGGCTTTTTTTTTGAGACGGAGTTTCACTCTTCTTGCCCAAGCTGGAGTGCAATGGTGCGATCTTGGCTCACCTCAACTTCCGCCTCCAGGGTTAACATGATTCTCCTGTCTCAGCCTCCCAAGTAGCTGGGATTACAGGCACATGCCACCACACCCAGCTAATTTTGTATTTTTAGTAGAGATGGGGTTTCTCCATATTGGTCAGGCTGGTCTCAAACTCCCGACCTCAGGTGATCTTCCCATCTCAGCCTCCCACCCAGCCCAGCTAAGAGGGACATTTTATTGTTAGATATTGACTGTGAACTTGGGCCTCATGGAGTCCAGCCCCCAGGAAAGCTGTTGTAAACTGGGTTCTCTATGTCTGTGTGCATGTGTGCCTGTGTGTGTGCGTGTGCATGTGTGCATGTGTGTCCACATGTATGCTGTGGGGCTCCTGAGTGTATACAGGGTTTTGGTTGAATCTTTACCACTGTATCCTGAGTGCCTAGCATAGTGCCTGGCATGCAGTAGGTGCTCAGCAAATGAATAGGTAAGTTGAGTATGCCCACATACGTGTTGTCCAATGAAATGCAGGTCTATAAGACCCAGGGAGCCTGTGCAGAGCTTGGAGAGGGCAGCACTTGCACAACCTTAGAGTTGAGGCTGTATTTGCAGGCAGGAGACCGAGAGCCACCCTGGACAGCCAGAGAGGAGCAGTATTCGCCAGGCTCTGGAGGGGAGAGGAGGCAGAGGAGGGAGCAGGTGCCAAGGCTGAGAGGTGTGAGATGGGCAAGTCCAGAGCAAAAGGGCCAATTGGGGTTACACTGCAAGGGTCAGTGAAGACCCAGATACAGCTTGAGCAGCTGAGTATGCTGAAGCCTTATTTCCTGGGCTTGGGGGCCCTGGGGAAGGAGTGCCGCTGGGGGCAGATGGCACATGAGGGGTTTTATCATGGAATAAGAGTCATGGTGGAAGCTTGGGCCGAGAACAGGCTAATGGCCTGACTGTGGAGGGTATAAAAAGCTCAAGTGACTAGAGAGAAGGAGACACTTTGTCAAAAGGATTTCTTTGGAGGGAGATCTGGGGGTGCTTAGATTTCCAGCCCCTATAAGGGGGTGTTTGGGAAGGGCCTGCCCCTCCCATGGCTTGGTTAGAGCTTCCCAGTGGATTGTGAGATGGTAACACATGTCTCCAGTGAGCTGGGGACTCAGAAGCCTGGACAAAGTTAGCTCCCACCAGGAAAATCTGAAACGGCCAGCCAAGAATTGCTCCCTGTCAGAGTAAGTGGAAGGAGACGGATCTGCGGTGGGATTTGCTGGGATCCCCCAGGGTTCATCAGAGTGCAGAAAACGGGGACCAAACATGGGCCTACTCTGCCAAGAAGTTTCACAAAACACAGCTATTCCTCCTCCTCATCTTCAGAATCATGTGGACAAGTAAATCTGGGAGGCGCTACAGCAGAGCGTGAGTGTGGGGCGAACGTGGAAAGCCAGGGTTAGAGCGGGCAGCAGCCGCCTGCAGGATACCCCTGGCTTGCAGTGTGGGAAGGGCAGCCAAAGGTCCCCAGGGCAGGAAGGAGGCATCCAGAAGGACCCACAGAGTCAGCACTGCCCTCTGCCAGGACCTGTGAGCAGAAGCCATCTCACGACAGGACCAATGAGGCAAAAACCTTTTCTTCCCGGCTTCTCCCAGTTCCGGGCTATGCCCTGGCAGCCTCTGGAATGGCAAATACAGGGTGAGTGTCCCTTATCCAAAATGTTTGAACCAGAAGTGTTTCAGATTTGGGATTTTTTGTTTTTTGAGACAGAGTCTCATTCTGTTGCCCAGGCTGCAGTGCAGTGGCTCAATCTCAACTCACTGCCACCTCCACCTCCTGGACTCAAGCAATTCTCCAACCTCAGCCTCCCGAGTAGCTGAAATTATAGGCATGTGCCACCATATCTGGTTAATTTTTGTGTTTTTAAGTAAAGATGGGGCTTCAGCATGTTGGCCAGGCTTGTGTTGAACTCCTGGCCTTAAGTGATCTGCTCCCCTCAGCCTCCCAAAGTACTGGGATTACAGGCATGAGCCACCATGACTTAGATTTGGAATAGTTTTGGATTTGAGAATATTTACAGATACATGATGAGATATCTTGGGGATGGGACCCAATCCTTAAGCACAAAAAGTATTTATGTTTCATATGCATCTTCTACACGCAGTCTGGAGGTAATTTATAGACTATTTGAAATAACTGTGCATGAAACAAAGTTTGTGCATATTGAACCATCAGAAAGCAGAGATTAGGTGGAATTTCCCACCCATAGTGTTATGCCATTGGTGCTTAAAAAGGTTTGAATTTTGGAGCATTTCTGATTTTGAATTTTCAAATTAGGGACGCTCAGTCTGTAGTAACATGGGGGAAGAGGGGCACAGTGCAAGGACACATGCAGGGGCACAGTAGGCCCAAGCCCCTTCTCCAGCTTGCTGCCTGCAGAGGGCAGCAAGGGCAGAAAGGAGGGTTAGCTTTGAACCAAGTTCAAAGATCCGGTTACTACCTGGGACCAGCTGCTTTGAATGCTAACTTGACTCTGCATTTGCAATTTTAAAGTGACCTAAGAATTTTTATCACCTAACCAGGGTCAGAAAACTTGTGGGACTTTTCATCCCACAAGTTTTCATCCAGGAAGGAGGGGACGAACTTTCCACCTGAGATCGAATCATAAAAAGTAAAAGAGATGTTGAGTCACAAGAATAAAGTTGTTTTCTTTTGCCTGAGTTTTGCTTATCAAATGCACTGATTTCTGTCATTATGGCTGTGACTCTGTCTCCCCTACTGGAATCTGGGCTCCTGAGGGCGGGTCCCTGTCAGATGTGGCTCTGTCCCTCCAGCACCTGGCCAAAGGCTGGGTATTCGATAAACCTCAGTAGATGTTACATTTCTCTTTTCTTTTGCCTGACCCTGGGTGTTCATAAGAGGTGGCGTCAGGTTCAGAGGGTAGCCCAAGATCTCATGGATGTGGACAGAGATGTGGCCTATCCCTTGTGGCTTCTCCAAGTGTCAGTCATGTAAATCAGTTGGGCAGCCCATCTGCCAGTGACGAGACTCTATGGCCAGGAGGTCAGACAGTCGGGCATTGATCGGGGGACGGCTGGCTGCCAGTCCTGCTAGTGAGATGGACAGACAGTCTGAGGATGACTCTGCACTCAATCTGATACAGACACCACTTTCCAGGGTCCCCTCCCAGCACACCAAGAGTGTCTCTCCTCTCCTGGAGGCCCCTTTGCCCAGGAGGCCTGGTCTAGGGTGCTCCTGGCAGGGTGCCTGTCCCTGATCACTGACTTGGCAGCCTCCTGGATGCTGGCTCCAGCGCTTCCCCTCCTCCTTCCCCTCCCTCCCAAGGTGGGAGCTTCAGGCTCTGCCAAAGCATTACTAAGCCCGGCGGTGACGTCACCCTCCCTGGTCCCAACCCGCCCCTGGCCAGCTTACCCTTCACCCCTGGCTGCCCCTGTGAGGATGACACATCCTGGGTAGGGGAGGGGCTGTGCCCTGGGACCAACGTGAAGGTCCTCCCCCGCCCAGCCTCCTCGGTGGGTGGGATCTGGTTGGATGCTTCCCCCCAGCTGGACGCTGCTCAGCTCTAGCAGTTACGGTCCTGGCAACTGGGCCAGATGGACCCCAATGCACACTGAGGCTCCTCCCCTCACCAGCACGGTGGCCCCGGACCAGGGACTTTATTTCTGTCAGCTTCATCTTGGATGATAATAGGACCTGCCTCTGGCGGGTGTGAGGCTTCATGGAGGTCATGTACCGCAAGCCCCTGCCCCATTTACAAGGGGACCCTCAGTCCTTCTCAGTTGCCTGTGGGGTGTCTACTCCTAATTCCTCAAGGACCATTTCAAAGCTAAATGGCTGGTCCTTTGCTGTCAGGGTTAGCTGAAGGACAAGGACTTTCCATGAATGCTCTCAAGCTTTGAGGTCAACATCCATTTCCTGCGATCACTGGGGGACCACATGGGAGCGGACTTCGGACCTTGCTGCCCGTAGAAATTCTAAGCACGCCTCCTGACTTTGATTGCAGGAATTTTCCCTCCTCAGTGTGGCCAAAGGCCCAAGCTTAACTCCCAGTACTGGCTCTTCTCTCTTCTTCCCAAGTAAATACCTGGATGGAGGTTTTATTCAGGACCAACCTTGAAATACAATCGGGCCGTCAATCTCTATTCCCCGGCACCTGGAGCCCCAGAATTCAGAATGCTGAAGGTTGGTTGGCTTGGCACTAGGAGGGGAAAGCCTTCCTTCCCTTCTGTCCAGAAAGATCAGAAGGCAACGGAGTCTGCAGTGATCTGCCCAACCCAAGACCCCCGCCTGACCAGGGGAAGATCACCAGCCTGCTCCAGCAGGTGCGGTTGAACCAACACTTCAAGGGTGTCCCTCAGAACATTAGTCTTGCAAGGTGCTTCACAAAACCCACACCCACACCCACACACATCACCACCACCAAAAATAACACAATAGTAGCAGGGATTATGTGGCTTGCTCAAGGTGGAGGGTCTATAAGAGAATTCCTCATGAAGTTGGGAACTTACAGAACTCTATTCTTAGTGTAAGGATAAAGAATAAATAACTCCAGCCAGGTGCGGTGGCTCGCACCTGTAATCCCTGCACTTTGGGAGGCTGAGGCTGGTGGGTCACCTGAGGTCAGGAGTTCAAGACCAGCCCGATCAACATAGTGAAACCCTGTCTCTACTAAAAATACAAAAATACAAAAAAATAGCTGGGTGTGGTTGCAGGTACCTGTAATCCCAGCTACTCAGGAAGCTGAGGCAGGAGAATTGCTTGAGCCCAGGAGGAAGACGTTGAAGGGAGTCAAGATCACGCCATTGCACTCCAGCCTGGGGAACAGAGCAAAACGCCATCTCAAATAAATAAATAAATAACTCCACTGCATAGAGGGGAAACAAGGAAATGTATCCATCTTAAGCATGACATCATGTAGAAAAGGAAAAATGTCTACAATGAGAATACAGAAGCATTAGCCAGCCCTGATGTGCCTTTGCACCCTGAAGTGGTGGCACCTAGAATGCATCAATAAACTTCCAGTAGAGATTTCAGTTTAATATGGTCCTAGGTTTGTAATGCTGAAACACGATGTGCAGGATCGAATCTAAGCTCTCTCTGGAGGGGTGTAATTGTAAAGACTCCTACAGATAATGTGCCAGGAAATAAGAGGTCTCAATAGGAAAAGTATAAAGCACAAAGAAACAAAATATCACGAATAAGAGTCAGCATAAACAACAGACAGGAGAATCAGACCTGAAAAGACATGTGACATTAAAATTGGATGCAACACATAGAACGTTTCAAAACTAAGAGAAGCTTGAAAATATGAGCAAATAACCAGAGCCCATACAACAAAGTGGATTTGGAAATTAATCAAAGAAAACTTTTTTTTTTTTTGAGATGGAGTTTGGCTCTTGTTGCCTAGGCTGGAATGCAACGGCACGATCTCGGCTCACCACAACCTCTGCCTCCTAGGCTCAAGTGATTCTCCTGCCTCAGCCTCCCAAATAGCTGGGATTTCAGGTGCCCACCACCACGCCTGGGTAATTTTTTGTTTTTTAGTAGGAATAGGGTTTCACCATGTTGAACAGGCTGGTCTTGAACACCTGACTGCAGTGATCTACCCGCCTTAGCCTCACAAAATGCTGGGATTACAGGCATAAGCCACCTTGCCTAGCCAAATGAAACTTCTAGAAATGGAAAATATAGTCATTGAAATGACAGAATTCAAAGTATGGGTCAAGTAAGAGTACATCCATATGAAGATAGAATTAGTAAGATAGAAGACAGACCTGCAACAATTGTCCTGAATATAGTTCAAACCGAAGAGAAGTTGGAACGTAGAAAAGAGAAGTGAAAGATGTGGAGGATAGAGATCTAACACGTTCAGTCAGAAAACTAGAAAGAGAAGAGGGAAAGTATGAGCAAGAGGCAATATTTGAAGAGATGGAAACTGACAGTTTTCAAGAATTGTCGAAAGACATCCAACCTTAGACCCAGAAAACTCAGTAATTTCTAAACACTAAAAATAAAAGGAAATCCACCACTATACACATGAAAGTGAAGCAGCAGAATTAAGAGAAGGGCGGGTGCGGTGGCTCACACCCAGCACTTTGGGAGGTGAAAGCAAGCAGATCACGAGGTCAAGAGATCACGACCATTCTGGCCAACATGGTGAAACCCTATCTCTACTAAAAATACAAAAATCAGCTGGGCATGGTGGTGTGAGCTTGTCATCCCAGCTACTCGGGAGGCTGAGTCAGGAGAATTGCTTGAACCCAGAGGCGGAGGTTGTAGTGAGCTGAGATCACACCATTGCACTCCAGCCTGAACAAGAGTGAGACTCTGTCTCAAAAAATAAATAAAAGAGAAAGAAAGAGAGATTATCATCCATAAACGAGCTCTAAAAAAGTTGATCTCATAGAAATAGAGTAGAATAGTGGGTATTAGAGGCTGGGGGTGGGGTGGGGGGAAGAGGGATGAGTGTGGAGAGATTGGTCAATGGGTACGAAGTTACGGTTAGATAGGAGAAATAAGTTCTAGTGTTCTATTGCACAATAGATGACTACAGTCAACAATAATGTATTGTATATTTCAAAATAGCTAGAAGAAGATTTTGAATGTTCTCCTGACAAAGAAATGATAAATGGTGATGGATTTGTTAATTACCCCAATTTGATCATTACACAATATTTACATGTATCACAACATCACATTGTTCTCCAAAATATGTACACTTATTAGGTGTCAACTAAAAAGAAATTATACTTCAAAGAAAGAGAAATCATAAAGGCAGCCAGCAAGACCAAAAAAAAAAAAAAAAAAAAAAATCACATGAAACAGCCTTTAGATAGGTGGCTGACTTCTTAGCAGCAACAATTCAATTAGGAAGCTGTAGAATAATATTTTTAGTGTATTAGAAATGTGTATTGCTGAAATAAAGTAGTGGTTGACCTAGAATTCTTATCTGGTGAATCCACATTTCAAAAACAAAGATATAATAAAACTGGGAGGGGGTAGGCATGGTGACTCACGCCTGTAACTCCAGCACTTCCGGAGGCAGAGGCAGGAGAATTGCTTGAGCTCAGGAGTCGGAGAGTGGCCTGGGTGACATGGTGAGACCTCCCGTCTCTAAAAAACATAAAAAAATTAGCTGGGGGTAGTGGTGCACACCTGTAGACCCAGCTACTTGGGACACTGAGGTGGGGAGATCACCACTGCACTCCAGCCTGGGTGACAGATTGAGACCCAGTCTCAAAAGGGAAAAAACCCCAAAAAACTGAGTTTTCCACAATGGACCTCACTAAAGGAGAGTCTAAAGAATGTACTTGATTCCTCCTAAGGTCAAGAACAGATAAGGATGTCTGCTGTCACCACTTCTATTTAACATGGTACTGGAGGATGTAGCCAGACAATTAGGCAAGAAAAAAATTAAAGAAGAAGTAAAACTATCTTTATTTGCAGATGATATGTTCTTCTATCTAGAAAAAGAATCAACTAAAGAACTGTTAGACTAATCCCTGGATACGAGATCAATGTGTACAAATAACCGTATTTCTATATATTCGCAATATATAATCCAAGAAAAATGAATTTAAGAAAAACAATTCCACTAACAATAGCATAAAAAAGTAACCTAAAAATCTAAAGAATACATTTAACACGCTTCTCTCCCCGGCGGCTTCCTTTGCGGCAGGGCAGAGAACCCACCCGCTTTCTTTGCGGAATCACCATGGCGGCTGGGACCCGGTACACGTATCCTGAAAACGGGAGGGCCTTAGGGCTCAGGTCCATGTGCTCTCCGCAACACCCCACTTCCGCTATGGCCAAACCAACAGCACCCCTGAATTTCTCCGCAAATTTCCTGCCTGCAAGGTCCCAGCATTTGAGGATGACGATGGATTCTGTGTGATTGAGAGCAATGCCATTGCCTACCATGTGAGCAATGAGGAGCTGCGGGGAAGTACTCCAGAGGCAGCAGCCCAGGTGGTGCAGTGGGTGAGCTTTGCTGATAGCGCCATGGCACCTCCGGCCAGTACCTGGGTGTTCCCCACCTTGGGCATCATGCACCACGATAAACAGGCCACTGAGAATGCGAAGGAGGAAGTGAGGCGAATTCTGGGGCTGCTGGATGCTCACCTGAAGACGAGGACTTTTCTGGTGGGTGAACGAGTGACGTTGGCTGACATCATAGTTGTCTGCACTTTGTTGTGGCTTTATAAACAGGTCCTGGAGCCTTCTTTCCGCCAGGCCTTTCCCAATACCAACCGCCGGTTCCTCACCTGCATTAAACAGCCCCGGTTCCGGGCTGTCTTGGGGGAAGTGAAACTGTGTGAGAAGATGGCCCAGTTTGCTGCTAAAAAGTTTGCAGAGAGCCAACCTAAAAGGGACACACCATGGAAAGAGAAGGGTTCACGGGAAGAGAAGCAGAAGCCCCAGGCTGAGCGGAAGGAGAAAAAGGCAGCTGCCCCTGCTCCTGAGGAGGAGATGGATGAATGTGAGCAGGGGCTGGCTGCTGAGCCCAAGGCCAAAGACTCCTCTGCTCACCTGCCCAAGAGTACCTTTGTGTTGGATGAATTTAAGCACAAGAATTCCAACGAGAACACACTCTCTGTGGCACTGACATATTTCTGGGAGCACTTTGATAAGGACGGCTGGTCCCTGTGGTACTGAGTATCGTTTCTCTGAAGAACTCACTCAGACTTTCATGAGCTGCAATTTCATCACTGGAAGGTTCCAGAGACTGGACAAGCTGAGGAAGAATGCCTTCGCCAGTGTCATCCTCTTTGGAACCAACAATAGCAGCTCCATTTCTGGAGTCTGGGTCTTCCGAGGCCGGAAGCTTGCCTTTCAGCTGAGTCCAGATTGGCAGGTGGACTAGAGTCATACACATGGCAGAAACTGGATCCTGGCGGCGAGAAGGCCCAGACGCTGGTTCGAGAGTACTTCTCCTGGGAGGGGGCCTTCCAGCATGTGGGCAAAGCCTTTAATCAGGGCAAGATCTTCAAGTGAACATCTCTTGCCATCACCTCGCTGCCTGCACCTGTCCTTCAGGGAGATGGGGCTTATTAAAGGAAACGGAACATTGAAAAAAAAAAAAAAGAATACATTTAACAAAAGAAGAACAATGCTTGCACCCTAAAAACTGTAAAATATGATTGAAATAAATTAAAAGAGACCTAAATAAATGGAAAGATTGCTTCTGTTCATGGATTGGAAGATTTAATACTATTAAGATGGGAATGCACTCCAAATTGATTTACAGATTCAGTGCCACCTTTATCAAAATCCCAGCTGGCTGTTTTACAGAAACGGATGAGCTGATCCTAAAATTCATACGGAAATGTAAAGGGCCAAGAATAGATAAAACAGACTTGACAAAGAACAAAGTTGGAGAACTCACACTTCCCGGTTTTAAAACTTATTATAAAGTTGAAGTAATTAAGACTGTAGTACTGGCAGAAAGATTGACATATAGATCAATGGAAGAGAATCGAGAATCCAGAAATAAAATAGTACATTTATGAAAAAGGGTGGATGCCAAGACAATTCAATGGGAAAAGCATATTCTTTTCAACAAATGGCGCGAGAACAACTGGATATCCATATGCAAAAGGACGAAGTTGGATTCTTTCCTTACACCACACTAAAATTAACTTACAATGGATCGTAAACCTAAATGAAAGAGCTAAAAGTACAAAACGCTTACGATAAAACTCAGGAACACAGGTTTAAATCTTAGTGACCCAGGATTAGGCAAAATCTTCTTAGACATGATGTCAAAAGCACAAGTAACGAAAGAAAAAATAGATAAATTGGACTTAATTTAAGATTAAAACATTTGTGCTTTAAAAGACATCATGAAGAAAGTGAAATGGAATGGAAGAATATATGTGAAAATCATATCTGATAAAGGACTAGTATCCAGAATATATACTGGATACTGTAAGGAACTCTTACAACTCAATATTAAGAAGACACAAGTCTATTTGAAAAATAGGCAAAGGACTTGAATAGACATTTCTCCAAAGAATATATGCAAATAGGCCGGGCGTGCTGGCTCATGCCTGTAATTCCAGCACTTTGGGAGGCCTAGGCAGCTGGATCACAAGGTCAGGAGTTCAAGACCAGACTGGCCAAACTGGTGAAACCCCACCTCTACTAAAAATACAAAAATTCACCAGGCACCATGGTGGGTGCCTGTAGTCCCAGCTACTCGGGAGCCTGAGGCAGGAGAATCACTTGAACCTGGGAGGCAAAGGTTGCAGTGAACCAAGATCTTGCCACTGCACTCTAGCCTGGGCAACAAGAGGGAAACTCTGTCTCAAACAAAAAAAAAAAAAAAAAGAGGAAGAATGTATGCAAATGACCTATAAGCACATGAAAACAGGCTTAACATCTTTAATCAGCAGGAAAATGCAAATCGAAACTACAGCGAAATACCACTTTATACACACAACGAGGGACATTAAAAAAAAAAAAATATCAAGTGTTGGCAAGGCTGCAGAGAAATGGAACCCTCACACATTGCTGGTGGGAAGGTAAGATGGTGCGGCCACTTGAGAAAGCAGTTTAACAATTCCTCAAAATATTAAACATGGAGTTACCACATGACCCAGCAATTTCACTCCTAGATGTATACCAAAGAAAACTGAAAACATGCAGCTACATGCAAATTTATGCACAAATGCTCATAAGAATATTATTCATAGTGGCCAAAAAAGTAGAAACAACCTAAATGTAACTTTGGTGGATGAATGCATATGTAAAACATGATATATTCATACAATGGAATATTATTTGGGAGCAAAAAGAATGGAGTACTAATGCGTGCTGTAATGCAACGAGTCTTGAAAACATTATGCAAAGTGAAAGAAGCCAGGCACAAAGACCACATATTGTATGATTCTATTTATGTAAAATGTCAAAAATAAGGAACTCTACAGAGACAGAAAGTAGATCAGTGGTTGCCTCGGGCTGGGAGATTTGAGGAAAAACGTGGAGTGACTACCAAGGGTTATAAAGTTGCTTGTTGGGAAACTCTGTAAATATATTAAAAATCACTGAATTCTACAATTTAAATGAATTCTATGGTATGCAAACCATATCTCAATAAAGTTTTTTTAAAAATGCACTCTAGACAGAAAGTAAAGTTATCTGAGAGCTGGAAGTTCTGAGATACAAGAAAGAGTGGTGGGCAAAGACAATGATACATGTGTGGTTAAATTCAACATAATGACTGCATGTACAAGGATAATGATGTCTGATTGTGGGGAGCTAATTTCACAAGATAAAATGAAAATATTGGACAACAGTAGCTGGTAGGTGGAAGGAGAGTAAACAGAATTAAAGTGTTATGAGATCCTTGTATTGTTTGGGAATAGAGTAAAATTATATTGACTTCATCTTAGCTCTTAAGTAAGAATGTTAAACTGTTACGGATAAGGATATACAATCATGTTTCACATAATGATGTTTTGGCCAATGACAGAGCTCATAAACAAGGGCAATCCCATAAGATTATAATGGGGCTGAAAATCCTGATTACCTAGTGATATCATAGGCATCAGCCATCATATAACATAGGACAATGCATTATACTTCCTCCATGTAGCTATGTTTAGATACACTAATGCTTACCAGTGTGTTACAATTGCCTACAGTATTCAGTACAGTAATATGCTGTACAGGTTCGTAGCCTAAGAGCTATGAGCTATACCATATAGCCTAAGTATGTAGTAGGCTATACCATCTAGGTTTGTATTTAAGTATGATCTGTGATGCTTGTACAGCGACAAAATCACCTAATGACAGATTTCTCAGAATGTACGCCCATCATTAAGTATAGAGAAGATAAAACTGCTTAACTAGTAGAGGGGGAAATGGAACTAAAAACACATACGAAACTAGTCCTGATCATGACTGACCCTATAAGCAGATCACAGAGGAGCTGTAATTATGGCTAGAGTCCTATAGGGAGGCAGAACTCAATCAAAGACAGACAGACATTTTAAGAGCTAGGTTTTTAGGCACTGGTGGATAACATTACTCTTTCTTCAGACTGTTAGTTTTCTCCCTTAAGTTGTTCATACTGTCTGTTTTTCAGTGAGGATCCAACTTGTTTAATTCAAAATGAGACAAGAAAGAGAGAAAACTGAAAAAGCTATACACATAGCACAAAATAAGATGGCGGAAATACACCCAAATATATCAGTAATCACAAGCAATATAAATGGTCTAAGTGTTCTGACTGAAAGATAATTTTTTTAGACTAAATTAGGAATTAAATTCCAGCTCTAAGCTAGTTTTTTTTGATCATTGAGACTACATGCTTATAAATTTTTATTTATTTTTTGTACAAACAGCAGCCTCACTATGTGTCCCAGGCTGGTCTCGAACTCCTGGACTCAAGTGATCCTCCCATGTCAGCTTCTCAATAAAAGTTAAGCCATTGTACCTGGCCTAAATATTTTTTAAAATATCAGCTTTATTGAGATATAATTCGTATATCACATAATTTACCAATTTAAAGTGTAAGATTCAGTGGTTTTTAGTATATCACAGATGTGTGCAACCAACAATTTTAGAATATTTTTAATTGTCCCCAACTTACTGTATTGAGAGTTTACAGGCCATAATACAGAGAAGAAGAGTCCTGGTGGAGGCTGTCAGCTTTCTGAATTAAGGTAATGGAACTAGGAGTTACAAGAGACCAAAAAGTCAAGTTCACAGGGAAGAGTCCTAGAGAGGAGAGAGCTGCACAGAGAGAATTCTGGAGGCAGACAATCCTCCTTGAATATCCAGATGAGTACTGATTAACGGATGCATGTGAGGAACATACCCAAGTCTGGGGGAATAAAACCACTTGACAAGATTAGAGCTCACACAGGTCTGGGGATAGTTCTTGTTAGCACCTGCCAGGATTTTTTAAATGTTGTAATTTATGAATCATGGGTAGAATACTCAAAAGAGTTGTCTCAGTGTTGAGGGAAATTAGTGCTAGATTCAATGTTTCTCTGGTCCCACCTAATAAAGTTTAAAAGCAAGACCTACAAGAATCTATCTGTTTCCAAGTATCTATACTGATTTCCAAAATAACGCTCAAGAATAGTTATAGGAATACCAAATATGCAACATCTAACAAGGTACAGTTTATAATGTCTGCCACTCAACTAATAATTACCTGAAAGGTAGATAAAAACTACAACATTTGAGATAAAAAATATTCTTGAATTAATTGCAGATTAAACATGACAGAAGAAAGATTAGTGAACTTGAAGTCATTGCAATAGAAATTAACCAAAAGAAACATGGCCAGAAAAGGGACCAAAATTTTTTTAAAAACATGAATATAACATCAGTGAGATGTGGGAGCAACTTCAAGCTGCCTAATAGATGTGCAACGGGAGACTTCAGATTAAGAAAGGGAGGCTAAAAAATATTTGAAGAAATAATGACCAAAATTTTTCCAAACTTGATGATATAAATATATACAGAAAATATGAAGAAAATGATACCAAGCCACCATTATAATCAAGTTATTTAAAATCAGTGATAAAGACAAAATCTTAAGAGCAGCCAGAGAGAAAAGACACATTATGAACAGAAGAAGAAACATAAAAATGACAGCAGACTTTTTGTTGAAAATAATGCAAGTCAGAAGGCAGAGGAGCATTTAAAAAGTCTGCCAACTTAGAATTCCTTATTCAGCAAAAATATTTTTCAAAAACAGAAGTGAAATTAAATCTTTGCTGACATACGAAAGCTAACACATTTCATGACTAGCAAACCTACACTATAGGAAATGCTAAATATCCTTCATTCTAAAGAACAAAAATGATACCAGCTGAAAACCTGGATCTATGCAAAGGAATAAAAGGTAAAATGTTAACTTTATGAGTATAAAAGTGTATGTAATTATTATTTAAATATTTAAAAAATATAATCTATTTAAAGCAAAATTAATGGCAATGTGGTAGAATTTTATAATACATGTAGAAGTAAAATGTATGATAAAAATGGCACAAAGATAGAAAGAGGAGAATAGTAGTATATTCTTTTTTTTTTGAGACGGAGTTTCGCTTTTGTTACCCAGGCTGGAGTGCAATGGCGCGATCTCGGCTCACCGCAACCTCCGCCTCCTGGGTTCAGGCAATGGTCCTGCCTCAGCCTCCTGAGTAGCTGGGATTACAGGCATGCGCCACCATACCCAGCTAATTTTTTGTATTTTTAGTAGAGACGGGGTTTCACCATGTGGACCAGGATGGAGTAGTATATTCTTGTACACGTTTATACACATGAAGTGCTGTATCACTTGCAAGTAGACCAATAAGTTTTATATTTATACTATAATTATATACTATGTTTTATAGTTATACTATAACTATGTACTGTAAGTTTTATAGT